AAGGGGATATTCTGAGTGACCATGAGTGACCATGCCTAGCAACAAGGATTTGGGTTATCTGTCTTGAGTAATACATTCCTGTGTGTAAGTAATTGTTTGAAATTTCACAAAGAGCTAAGGCATTTACCAATGATATTGGTCCATCAGGTAGGTAGCTTACAACTAAATGAGGAAAACCAATAAATGTTAGCAGATAACATTCTTAGCTTTTAGGTTTGTGGAAGCTAGTGTTAATCCCACCAAATAAAAGTGAAGGCCAAATTTATAGCAAGCTTTATTATATGTGCACAATATAGCCGGTCTGGTAACTGTCTCTCCATAAATGTAGGGTTTGAGAGGTCAGCTTCAAACTAGGAGAAGTGGGGTTTTATAGCCTGAAGCTACAAGGCTGGGGGTTTCCAAGGGTTGGGAGATTTTCAGAGGAATTTGGTTACATAGGAGCTTGGCACAGCATCTCAAAATTATTTGGCAGAACATTTTATCTTATCAGGGTGGAGTTCAGGGATTGGGTCAAATTCCAGAAAATGAATCAAGCTCCTGTTCGAACTTTTTACAAAAAACAGGAGTGACTTATTTTTACCCTGTAACAAGATGGCTTCTAATCTTAAAATAGAGTTAGGCTGGTCCATCAGCTAGGAGTCTATTAATAACAGAGTTGTAAAGGGTTTACCTGGTAGATCAGACAACAGCGGTGGAGAATTAAGTGAACTAAAGACTGCCCAAAATAATCTGATTTTAAATCTCAACCATTCTACCTCTCCACAACTGCAAAGTTGTGATTAGTCCAATCAGCCTCGGAAAGTCTCTAACGAGGGCATGGCTTGGGAATGAGGGATGGGAGCAGGGAATGGGGCTGGTGGGGACAGGGATCTTCAGTTCAGAATACAAGATCTGGAGTCATAGTGAGAGTCACTGAGGGTGGATACTGTTCAAATCTTAAACATGTGTAGGACAGCCCAGGAAGCAAGAGGAGAGGAGTGGCTTGAGTTTCATGTCAACAGGACACAAACCACAGTACCTGGGAAGAGGTTCTCTAAATTGAGAAAATGCCCCTGGAAGATCTGCCTGCAGGCAAGACTACAGTGCGTTTTCTTGATTGATTGATGTGAAAGGGCCCGGATCACCAGGCACCATCACTCCAGGGTCGGTGATCCTGGATAATATAAGAAAGCAGACCAGACAAGTTACAGGGAGCATAAGCCATGTTCCTCCATGGCCTCTGCTGCAGTTCCTGCCTCAGGTTCCTGCCTTGAATTTCTGCTCTGACTTCTTGAAAGTGATGGATTATGATCTGAGAATTGTAAGATGAAATAAACCCTCTCCTCCCAAAGTTGGTTTTGGTCATGGTATTGTATCACAGCCATAGAAACCCTATGGCAAGGATGGTGTGCACTCCTTAGCCTCAGAGAACATAACTTAGAAGGTACAGAGCAATGAGCCTGGGAAGGGGCAGGCAGGGAGATGCTCCAGAGAATGGCTCCATGGAAACCGTGTGAGGGCGTGGCCATCACCCACTTTCCTATACTTACCTTTCTGGTCTGAGTGCATGTGCCAGGCCCTCCACTCAGAAGTCCACGTTCCAGAGCAAGAATCTGATTGTTCAGCCTTAAATAGCTGTGCACACCTGCCTTAGGGTTTCTGTGGCTGTGATGAAACACCATGACCAAAGCAACTTGGGGAGGAAGGGTTTGTTCAGCTCATGCTTCCACATCACAGTTCATCAAAGGAAGCCAGGACAGGAACTCAAGAAGGGCAGGAAGCTGGAGGCAGGAGCTGGTGCAGAGGCCATGGAGGGGTGCTGCTTACTGGCTTGTTCCTATGACTTGCCCAACCTGCTTTATTATAGAACCCAGGACCACCAGCCCAGGGATGGCACCACCCACAATGGGCTGGACTCTTCCCCCACAATCACTTAAGAAAATGCCCTATAGGTATTTGTGTACAGCCCAATCTCATGGAGGCATTTTCTTCATTGATGTTCCCTCCTCTCAAATTACTTTAGCTTGCGTCAAGTGGACATAAAACTATGCAGCCAACTACTGATTCAGGAAGCTGTTGTTTGCATACTCTGGGAATTCACTCACAGAGAACATAGCTTCCTCTGGATGTTTCCTCTTCTCTTGAAATCCCTGCATTCTGGTCTGGCAGTCTTGTGTTGCATCCCTGGACAGGCTGAGCTCTTCTCATGCAGACCTTGCTTCTCCCCTGTCTCCTCCAGCTCTTAGCATGTCCTCTCTCTTGTCATCCTTCAAGGTCAGAGTTCAGATGACACCCTCCTGGATTCCTCTCCTGTGAAAGATGATCCTATTCCTGATGGCTTGTTGTTTCCTTTGTAGTATCTTCTAGTTTGTAACTACTGATTTTTAAAATATATTTTAATGGAAATAGAATTATATCACTTTCCCCTTCCCTTTCCTTCCTCCAGCCCCTCAGCTACCATCCATCCAACACTTCCCATGCTTCCATCAAGTCAATAGCCTCCTTTTATTTTATTACTATTGGTTTATGTGTGTGTGTGCACATGCATGCGTGTGTGCACGCATGAGTGCATACACATATGTAAACAACTGGCTGAATCTGTTTTGTTGTGTCTATGTGGTTTCAGGGCTAACTCCTTTACATTGGCTAGCCGATAAAGAGAGGCTAATTCTTATTCTTCAGGCAGTCATTAGTTACCTGTAGTTCTTTATCTAAGGATGGGGCCTCTCAGACTTCTCCCTCCTCTGTGTTAACATGTCCACTGATATTGTCATTGTTCTGCTCGTGTATGTAGTCATTTCTAGGAGAGGCTATTTCCCACTGACTTTCTGGTGTCCTGGATCTTCCAATCTTTCCACCACCTCTTCCACAGTGTTCCCTGAGCTATAGCAGTGATACAGATGTGACCACTGGGGCTGAGATCCCGTGATAGGTTCATCTCTGCATTGTGTTCAGTTGTAGTTTCCTATGATGATCTCCATCTACAGTAAAGCAAAGCTTCTTTATAAGGGTAGTAATTACATTATCTGTGCGCATAAGGGTAAGATTTAGAATATAGTAAGGAGTTATACCAGTCTAGCAAAGTGGCAGTAGTATATTCTTATTTACGGTCCATGGCCTCACTAGCCCTAGGAAGCTGGCTAGCTTTCCAATACCAGGTCTGTCCTGTTGAGTGGGCCATAAGTCTAATTAGACAGCTACCGTTTGTCACCAACACATGAGTGCTATTGTACTTTCATGGACATCTTTACTTGCTGTAGTTCATAGGTGTTGCAGCCAAGTAGAACTGTTTGATTGCTTCCTTCCCTTGGCATATTGCATAGTATTTTCTGGAAACATGGAAGCTAGACTGTAGGAAAGAGGCTTTCATGTCAGGTCAAGTTGGAATCATTCAAGTCCCATGTCCTAAGTGTGTGTGTGTCTTCAGCTCTAGGCCACCCCTAAGAGGCAACCAAGGGCCTCTGTATTGTTTGGGGAGTCACTTGGACTACCATAACCAACTATTCAAAAGGAAGTTTCTCATACCAGGAATGGGATGTTTTATTCTATGGTTCTTGTGGTGAACATTGTCGGCCCAAGTGTCACACACATATAATCTATAATTTTAAGTAATTGTAAAATAATTTGATTCCTCGAGAATTTGTCAAACAACATTGGTAACCTTAGTTATTTGCTCCTTGTTCCTTCTCTATTGTCCTCCTTGTCTGTAACTATTAACTTTTTGATTTTTATTTATTTGAATGTGTGTGGATGTGTATGCATGCATGTATGTATGTATACCAGTGCACATGCATGTGGAGGTCAGAAGTCAACTTTCAGGAGTCTGTTCTCTCCTGCGTAGGTTCTGAAAATCAAACTCAGGCTGTCAGACTTGGTTTTTAATAGCAGTTTCCTCATCAAGAGTAGAAGCTCTGGGGCTGGAGATTAAGAACACTCACAGATTAAGAACATTTGTTACCCTTACAGAGTATGGGTTCAGTTCCCAGCACCCACATGGCAGCCTACAATCACCCATCATTCTAGTTGCAGGGAATCCAGGCCTCAGTGGGCACCAGGTATGCATACAGGTCCCCTGTGTATATGCAGGCAAAACACTCAGACACACAAAATAAAATAAATCTCTTGGGGGGGGGAGAATATAACTTGCAAGGACAAAGACAATATCTATCTTAGTGATTCTCAACTGAGGACAATTGTGACCACTAGGGGACTTGTCTAGGTTAACTGGCTGGTAGAGGCCAGAGATGTCATTGAACACCTTTCATTGCACAGGGCAGCCCCACAATAGAATTATTCACCCAAATACCAGATGTGCCAAGGCTAGTGACCATGGTGGTGCACACTTTTGATCCCAGCATTCAAGAGGTAGAGTAGATCTCTGAGGCCAGCCTGGTCTATGTATGTGTTCTGGGGTTATATAGAGAGCTTGTCTCAGAAGAAATAAAGTGCAAAGAAGTGCTTGTTATCTTGTTGACAGCCATGTTCTCGGTATAGAGCATAGAGCCTTGCAGCCAGCAGGTGCTCAAGGAGTGTTCAGTGCACACAAGAAATGAACTGCACAAATCCAGAGAACATTGTGTAAAGGTTGCTTTACATTCTTACATCAGTCAGGAGAGGAATTTAGGTAGTCTCATGATGACAACTCAAAGTAGTCATGTTTTCCACAGTCAGGGTGATATATTCCTGAAAAATCCCTGGCATATGTGATTGTCCTAATGAAAACAGCAAAAGTTTGCTTGTGAGAATTGAGGGGGAATGAACCTTGAAGAGAGACCTATTGCAACATCTTACATAGACTGGGGCTTTTGAGGTCAATCTAATGTATAAAAAATAATCTTACAAGCCATATTTTTTTTTATCAAAACTCTATAGGAACTCTTTCAGTTTCCACACAGAACTAAAAATGTTTCTGGACCCTTTTAGGAACCAAGGGCTGGGGTAGGGGGAGACTCATGGTGGAGAGACTCATGTGGAAAGGTGACATGGTGCTGAGCACTGATCAGATCACTTTGTTTTGTAGCATGGACAAGAACATGGACAGAAATCCACAGAAGCAACTGAGCCAGAAGGCCATGAATGCACTTGCCCAAAGTCCACACGATGAATTGCTGGTTACACACATTAACCAGACCCAGGACCTACTGGTAACAACCATAGAGCTTTCCGTTCACTAGTGACACTTTCAACTCATTAGCCAGGGGATGTGCAATGTCTTTCTTCAGTAGGACCCAGTACTATAAATGTGATTAAGTAGAGCAGTGAGAGTTCTTATTGCCCAACACTGAACTTGTGTGTTCTCCATGTAAAGTGTCCACTTTATAGACTCAAGGTCCCACCCCAACCAAGAAGCTATTTGCAGTTGATACCCACAGGCAAAGGGGAAACCCGATTCTCCAATGGAGTGTCACTGGGTAGATCTACCACACTCCACAGCAGGCCCCATGCCTAGGTATAGTTGGCCCAACACAAAAGGAACTTAACTTTTTTGTAGAATTTTTTGTTTTGTTTGGGCATTTTTTTTTTTTTTGTCTTAATAGTTTCTTGTTTGCTTGTTTTCATTTTAATTTTTGTAGGGGTTTTTCTGAAAAAGAGGAGAGAGAGCAAGAGAGAGATCATAAAGTTGGGGAGAATATCTGGGAGGAGTTTGGGCATGGGAAAAACGTGATCAAAATATGTTGTATGAGCTGGACATGGTGGCACACACCTTTAATCCCAGCACTCAGGAGGCAGAGTCAGGTGAGTTCAATGCCAGCCTGGTGTACATAGTGAGTTTTAGGACAGCCAGGGCTACAGAGAGACCCTGTCTAGAACAAGTATATAGATTTATAAAAAAATATAGTATGGAAAGTGTATATATATATATAATTTTAAAATGAAAAGTGTGCACTTTAGCAGAAGAACAGCAGGGTCTTCAGTTATAAGCAATGTATGTAGGAATGGGCTTTCAGATGTCTGAAGGGCAAAAGCCACAGCCTAAAGTGTGACACACCATTCCAAGTGCAAGATGGAAAAAGGGTGCAATGGCAGTGTCATGCACATGCTGGCCTGGAAGAGAACAGTGCCGCCTAGTGGTCACAGAGACTGATTTCCTGAAGCGTATGGGTAGGACTGTGTCATCTCTGGCACTGAGCTCTCTGCCCCTGCAGTTCTCAGACTATTCTTCTTTGCACTCTCATTTAGTTGTAAGCAGAGGGTTGGCATAAAACAAAGATGGCGAAGATGAAAGACTGCCAATATAGTCCAACTCCATAGTGTTGCTCACTTTGCATTCTTTCCTAAGACCGGTTCTGTCTAGTTTTAAGTGGAAATTAGCAGGTGCTCAGGATGTGTGAAAACACACTCCTAATGACTGCAAACAGTAACATGGCACCTAGGATATGTGGAACACTTTCTGGATAGTAAAGTCATGTAATCCCAGGAGACCATCACTTTTCTGACAAGGAAGCTGAGGCACAGAGAACTTTTACCCAAGGTCACAGAGTCATTTGTCCAAGCTCACCCAGGTAATGATGGCAATGGATCTAGGATTCATTAGAAAGCTATATTAAGTCATGCTTGTAACTAAAACAGTTCATGGCTTCTCTGAACAAGCATAAACTTTGGTTGTCTGCGTGAGAAACTTTCTCATTGTGTGATCTAACCCTTCCTGCCTTTGAGAGGCTCAGTGCCAGAGCTTTTCCTGTGTCGAGGATCACCAGCTTATATGCCACCTGTCCCGTAGTCTCTCCTGGCTTCCTCTCTCATGTCTATAGCCAAGATCCTCAGGTCTCCCCTGATCAAATCTGATATTTATCAATTTTGAAGAGATCCATAGTTTATTTTTTGTTTCCAGTGGAAACAAAGGCATATCTTTTCTCCCAACATAATACATATCCTGGCTCCTATTTTTAAGTTAAGACATTCCTAAATTATCTAAACTTGTTTAATTCAATGGTTTCTTCTACAATCCAATGTGTTTCAGCAGCTGTTATTCACTCAACAGCATTCAAAAAAACCCAGAGTCAACAAAGAACCATACAGGATCCAGATGTCCTGTGTATTTCCCTGTGTGGCTTATTCTTTTTATATTACTTTACTCTTTCTTTAAAGACTTTATTATTTTTACATTATTTTTATGACTATCTATACCCATTGTTTACTGTATGTATTTAAAGATATTTTTCAGTCTGGACCACTTCACTATGCCTTCTCAGAGCACTGAGCCAAGTTTTAAACCCACCCTGTGGTTCTGCTTAACACATGATGGTGGCTCTGCCCCCTGCTCAGTCTGTGAGAGCCAGCCTTAATCCCACAGTCTGATTGTGAACTATGTTTAACTGGGAGCTGCATTTAACCACATTGGCTCTGGGAAGCTGGTGGGCTGTGGCAAGTGTTTTGACTTAGCACAGTTTCTGTTTAGCGTGCCAGCTATTCAAGTAGACCCCAACCTTTGTACATCAGGTTACTAGGAAACCATGCCCATTTGTTTGTTTCCACTTTCTAGATATCTATGTGGAAATATGTGCCCAGACATTGGGCACCATATGTAATTGCCATATGGAACTGACATATAACTGCCCTCTCCATACTGCCCATGCTGCTGCTTCCATATCTGGCTGGCAACTCCACCTTCTTCCCAGAGTTCTCTGTCTCTGGAAGTTCCACCTATACCTCCTGCCTAGCTATTGACCATTCAACTTTTTATAACACCAATCACAGCAATACATTTTCACACAATGTACAAATATTCCACAACATATATGTATCTGTATAAGTCTGTGTGTATGGTGCGTGTGTGCGCGCATGTGTGTGTATGTATCAGTGACTCTGTGGTGTGTGTGTGTGTGCGTGTGTGTGTGTGTGCGTGTATCTGTACCTGTGTTGCTATGTCTCACAGTGGGACTGGGCTGGATTCTAAACCCTTAGTGAACAATAGCTTCTCAGCCTTTTACCTGAGATGAGGTGAAGTGAATTATATTCAACTCCATCGATTCTCGAGGCCCTTCTGTGGCACATAGACAAGAGCTGTTATACAGGAAGCTCTTGCTGACCCTGCCTCACGTACACTCTTGTGCAGCTTGTACCGGCACAGTCTGTACTTTTATCTCGTCACTTCTGATTTACCACTGACTTAGCTACCTTTCTAGCACCATGACCAGGGCTACTTATAAAAGAAAGCATTTAATTGTGGGCTTGCTCACAGAGGGCCGATGACCCTCATGGTGGGTAGCACGACAGCAGACAGGCAGTGGCGCTGGAGCCGTAACTGAGAGCTTACATCAGAGACAAAGACAAACTACCATGAGGCAGAGACAGTCAACTAAGATGGCTTGAGCTTTTGGAACCTCAAAGCCCACCCTTAGTGACATACCTCCTCCAGCAAGGCCACACCTCGAATTCCTTCCTGAACAGTTTACCAGCTGGGGACTAAGCTTTCAAACATATGAGCCTATGGCACCCATAATCACTCAAACCACAGCTCCAGGACCTAGCCCCTCTCATCATCACATGCTCCAGCTCACTTGGAATGTGCCAGCTCCTCCTCAGCCTTCAGCACCTGCCTCGCTCAGAGGCCTTGTCTGACTGATAACTCAGCCAGGCAGCCGCCCAAACCACCTAGTCATTTCCTAGCCACTTCCTCTGCTGACTTCTTATTGGAAATGTTCCTTTCTGACACTCTCCTGCACACTGATTTCATTTCTTGTCCATTGTCCATCTGTCCACACTAGACTACAAGCTGTGAGAAGACAAGCATACCCTTACTTGCACTGTAGCCTGAGCACCAAGGATGAGGCCAATTCAAGGCAATGACTCAGAGATACCCCAGAAGGGATAAATGGGAGAAGGCAGACTCAATCCTGAGTCAAGGCGGTGTCTACACGCTAGCACTGGAAAGCATCGTCAGTGCCATGCTTGCCATGGGGATCCAGCTCCACTTCCGGGACCACACACACATCCTGAGCTTAGTGCTGAATGACACAGATGTCACTAAGCACAAGATGTCACCATGCATTTGATGGCTGAGTCCTGTGATGAATAGAAACTTGTTCTTCTAAAACACCCACCAACTTGCTGCCCTGGTTCTGATCTCTGGGGCAGAGCTAGAATGCCCCAGTCTCTACTTGACCAATTAGTGTTTGTTGAGGGTCTCTTAGAATGCTAGGGGACAGAAGTTAGTTGAAGAGATCTAGAGTGCCCAACGATGGAAATAAGCAAGATCATCCCACTGAGAACAAACCAGAAATGAATCCAGGCCTCTCTCACTACAAGGGAGGCAGACCCTGTGACTTGTGCTTGCCATCAACTCAACAACAGGATGGGAAATAGAAAACCTTTGTTTGCTGGAAGAAGACTGAACAGAAGAAGGCATCTTACAGATTGGTTCAGGAAGCATACTTTAATTTCTCCAGAAGGTCCTGGGTTGGAAGTAGGGGCTCAAAAACACAGGAAGCTAACAGTCATTGACCGATTTGGGCCAGGTTTTGCAGAGGTTGTGATTCTACGATCATGTTGTCTAGTCATTGTGTTTGTCATTCACTAATATCGTGAGCCACATTTGGAGCCCAATGTAAGGGTGGTGTTTCCAGGGTAACCAGACTCATGTTCACTTGCTCTCTCAGCTAGGAGGTTAGGAGGTTAGCTGTGTTGTTGTGTTGTTGGTGTTGGTGTTTTGAGACAGGATCTTGCTCTGTAGCCCAGGCTAGCTTTGAACTTCAGATCAGCACCCCCCCCCCAAAAGTGTTGTGATTACTGGTATGTACCACTGTGCCCAGTTATCAGAATTTTTAGAATGCCTTGAGATAGGGTCTCTCAGAGTTCCCAGCCCTTGGGTATCTGTAGGAAGGAAACCAACCCTAACCCTAACCCTTGCCCGTGTTGCTGCTGTTTCCTGTCTGACTCTGGCTTCTGCCTTGTAGAGGCTGCAGGGAAGTGAGACTCAGGCCTCTGCCCCAGAAGACTCTGCAGACTGGCTTTCAACTCACAGTTTGAAGTTTGAGAAACTCACCTTGACTGACTTGATAAGCCAGGGAGCAGTTGAGCTGTAAGTCTGAAATCCTTCCACCCTTCCTCCCAAGCTCCCCACAGCTACAGTGGCACACCCAGCCCTGAGTCTGAAAACCCTAAATAAAGCTTTTCCCTTTCAGGGAGGAGCGTGGCAATGCCGTGCCCAAAGTGCATTTCTCCACCCAGGCCATCCACCACTTTGAATCCAGGCTTTCTGAGTAAGTTTTCCAGTGTCGTCCAGCACCCCTGAGCCTGAGGCTGCTGAGATCTCATAGACTGCACATGACTGGGCCCAATCAGCAATTTCAGTATGTCGGACTAGGCTGGCACCTGCCCTTGGATGAATGCCTCAGATGACCCAGCTTCATCTGCTGGTTAACAACTGAGAGCTCTGCCAGACTGGTATGGCTCCCACTTTGCAGATGTGTGTTAAACAGGTGTGTGCCCAACTCTCAGACTAATTATTTTTATTTCAAGCATGTTGGTATCTTGTCTGCATGTATGTTAGTTAGTGCACACATATGTGCTTGGTATCGACTTAAGTCCAGAAAAGGATGTTGAATCCCTTGGAACTGGAGCTACAGATGATGTGAGCTGCCATGTGGGTACTGGAAATTGAATCTGGATCCTCTACAAGATCACCAAGTGCTTGTAACTGATGAGCCATTTCCCCAGCCCCACCCAAACCCATCTTAATAGCACAAGTAGCATACACACACACACACACACACACACACATGCAGACACACACACACATGCAGCACACACACATACAGATACATACACATACCCACACACATGCTTGCACACACATACAGACACACACACATACAGACACAAACACATACACACATATACATTCACACACACACCTTCCCATAATCAGTACACAGGATAGTTTTAAGATTCCATCCCACAATGGGCAGCAGTGATACATGCCTTTAATCCCAGCACTCAGGAGACAGAGGCAGGCAGATCTCTGTGAATTTGAATCCAACCTGATCTTCAGAGTGAGTTCCAGGACAGCCAGGGCTGTTATACAGAGAAACCCTGTCTCAAAAAAAAAAAAAAAAAAAAAAAAAAAAAGAAGAAGAAGAAGAAGAAGAAAGAAAGAAACTCCATCCCTATAGTAGTCTGTGGTCTATAATTACTGCTGCCTAAGGTCTCCCAAAAGGTTATCATGATAATTAAAGCTAACATTTGTTAACATGCCAGAAACTCTGCTAAGGGCTGTCTATAAGATCTTATTTCATCTTTATAACTGCCCAAAACATTGTATTATTCTCAAACTAATTACCAAAGGCCAAACCAGTTAACCAGAAGTCAGCTGTGCAGTGATCATGCAGCAACTGTTAGTAAGATTTATCAAAATGCTTTAACTATAAATTTTATAGAAAGTCTTTTGGGATCAGAATGTTTCAAAGGTTCTAATTAACTACATGATGTTCAGTTCATTCATCCATTCCTTTGTGACAGGGTCTGTGTAGCTCACAGCCACCCATAACCTCAGTTCTAGGAGATCTGATACCATCTTCCGTGTCTGCCTTTCATGGGCACCAGACATACATATGGTGTGGATACATCCAGGGAAAACACCCCAAAATACAAAAAGGATAACTTTTCAAAGGACCAGATCTGAGTAAGAACAGGTGACCTTCCTCATGAGAACACTGCCTCCATCCTCGTCACCAGCACCCTGTCTTGCTCCACAGGAAAGCTGCAGTCAAGCCCGGATCCCCCCACAGCCCCCCGCCCCCCGCCCCAGCCTGGCAGCCTGGTGCCCTGGGAAACACATACCTTTAACGATCTTTGCTATGTTTGCCTTACATTCTCCACAAGGCCTTAAAAATTAAAAATTCAGCCAACCAGGTAGCTCATGCTTCTAATTCCAGAGTGGGAAAGCTGAGGTGAAAAGACAGAGTCTGATGCTGAGCTGGTACTATGGCTCCATAAGTAAAGGCTGCTGCACAGGCCTGGGGAGCTGAGCTGACTTTCTGGACTCCAAAAGGTGGTGGTGGGAGCTGCTGACTCCTACTAATGCACTTGCACTGGAATACACACACACACACCCTTTCTCCCTCTCTCCCTCCCTCCCTCCCTCCCTCCTCCTTCTCTCCCCTCCCCCAAAACATATACACACAACCACACACAAAGTAATACTTTTAAAAATTAAGAAAACAATAAAAGAGAGAGTCTGAGACCAAGCTGAGCTGTGCAGTGAGATTCTCCTTTAAAAATGTAGAAAAGACCAGGCATGGTGGTATACATCTTTAATCTAGCAATAGGAAGGCAGAGGCAGACAGAAGTCTGTGAGTTTGAGGCCAGCCTGATCTACATAGCAAGTTATAGGCCAACCAGGGCTACACAATGAAACTCTGTCTCAAAAAATAAAGTAAAAGAAAAAAAATTTAATTAAAAATATAGATAACCAAAGCCAGGTGTTGGTGGTACACACCTTTAATCCCAGCACTTGGGAGGCAGAGGCAGGAGGATCTCTGTGAGTTCAAGGGCAGCCTGGTCTACAAAATTAGTTCCAGGACAGGCTCCAAAGCCACAGAGAAACTCTGTCTCAAAAAAATTATATGTATGTATGTATGTATTTGTGTGTGTATGTATATATATATTATATATATTATATATATATATATATATGTAGGTAGATAGATGTAGACATATAAATATATAGATATCCAAAACTTGTAAAGTCCTAGCCACCTTCCTCTGTGTGTAAGTGAGCTCTTGGTGATGAACCTTCGCCTGTGTGTAGGCGACAGGGCTGGTAACGAGTCTCTCTGGTGTCTCCACAGCACTATCGAGCTCTATCAGCAGAGGATTCGGTGGCTCACAGAGAACAGCAAGAAGGTAATAGCACACATGGCTCTTCCTGCAATCCCTAGCCTGACTGCTTAGTTAGAGCCCTTTCCCTTGCAGATGATGACATTCCAACTAAAGTTGCTTCACTAAACACAGAGCTCCTAACCCACACACACGAAAGCCACAGATACACTTTTGCTTGTTGCTAAGCTCTTACAGACCTAGCTAGGCATGGTGGTACAAACCTGTAGTCCTAACACTGAGGCCAGAAGAGAGCATCAAGTCCCCTGGAACTGTAGTTATTGACCATTGTTAGCCACCATGTGGACGCTGGAAATGAAACCCAGGTCCTCTGAAAGAGCAGCCAGTGCTCTTAACAGCTGAGCCATCTCTCCACCCACCCCTTATATTTTAAAAGGAAGAGATGGAGCTCCAAGTTTTAACTTCTGGTTCCATGAGGGCTGGCAACGCCCTGGGGAGACTCAGCCTTCATTTGAATCATAAATACCGTGAATATTTATGAATCAATATCAGGTGAATTATGAATGCAATAAATATTTATGAGATAAATATCAGGTACCATTCTAGAATTGAAGGGTATAAACACTAGGCTCCTCCATGGAGGAGAACAGTGAAGAAATAAGATCACAAGTCAGACTCAAGGCCAATTAGCAACAGTTCTGTACAAAAAAATGAAGCAAGTGGGAAGCCATGAATGTGTTAGAAAGAGGGTTCTTTGCATAGGACAGTCAGGGAAATTACCCTGAGGAAGAGGAAGGGACACTGGAACAGGCCAGTGTTCCAGAAAGTGGAGAATATTCCAGGCAGAAAGATGAGCAAGCACAGAAGACCCAAACCTGTGGCATGTTCCAGAAGCAGCAAGCAGGGCTGTGTGTCAGAACAGAAGTGATGTGAAGACCAGAGACAAGGCTGCTCAGGAAGACACATTCCAAAGGGCCAGCCTGGCTTCTTTCTGGATGCACAGGACAGGCATGGTGAACACCATGGTGACTTGGTGTTAGGTGCTGCTGTCGTCTGGATAAAATAGATAGCAGGAATAGTGGAGCAGGCAGGATTTGTGGGTGCCTAGGCCAATGCTGAAAGCCATTTACTGAACTGTGAAAGGCTAAGGGAGCAACAGGCTTGGGGGAAACCAGGAGGCCTTGTCTGGGACCTAAGAAGTCAGAGAGTTTCACCAAACATTCAGACAGCGTGGAAGAGCAGTGGTCAATGGCACATGGCTGAAGGTTCAAGACAGATCTTGGTGCTAGCCCTGTGTAACCCCAGGCATTCAGATAAGAAACATGAGACTCCTGAGTTCAGGGGTTGGGGATTTAGCTCAGTGGTAGAATGCTTGCTTAGCAAGCACAGGCAGTCTCAGTGCTACTTAAAAATGGAATGGCGATTTTCAACTGATATATGTTTAATGGTGACTCTGCTGTCACAGGCCATTTGGCAAGGCCTAAAGGTACTTTTGGTTGTCACAGCTAGTGATGTGGAGGTGTTCCTGGCATTTGTTTAGAAACATCCAGGGTGCTCTTAAACACTCTGAAATGTTTGGGTCAACTTCCCACAACAGAGAACTATCCAGTCTCAAACATCCACCACACCAAAGACCAAAGGCCTGATGTAGATGGAGTTGAGAGTGGACAGTACACTGCTGTGACTACAGCCTTTCACCTCACACTCCGTCATGAAAGGAAGTCAGGCTGGTGCGGAGACCATGGAGGAGTGCAGCTTACTGGCTTGCTCATCATGGTTTGCCCGCCTGCTTTTTTATAGCACCCAGTACCAGCAGCTCAAGGGTGGCCCTGCTCACAGTGAGCTGGGTTCTTCCACATCAGTCATTATTTTAAAAATGCCCTACAGGCTTTCCTACAGCCAGATCTTATGGAGCTTTTTCTCAGTTGAGGTTACCTCATCTCAGAAGACTCTAGCTGTGTCAAGTTGACATACAAAACAACCAGCACACCAACTTAAAAGCCAGAAATTTGGGTTGGAGAGATGGCTCAATGGTTAAGAGCACTGGCTGGTCTTTGAGAAGTCCTGAGTTCAATTCCCAGCAACTACTTGGTGGCTCACAACCATCTATAATGGGATCTAATGCCTTCTTCTGGCATGCAGGTGTACATGCAGATAGAGTACTCATATACATAAGTGGATAAATCTTTATAGAAAAATCAATGTTAGTTTTTAGCACCATGACAAAAATATTTGGGGAAAAATAAGGGAGGCATGATTGGTTCAGAGGTCTCAGACTATTGTTGACTTTTAAGTCCATTGCTTTTAAGCTGTGGTAAGGTAGAACATCATAGTGGGGGACATGTGACAGAGATCACTGATCACCTCATGGCAACTGAGGGGAGGGAGGAAAGGAGGAGGAAGAGGAAAAAGGAGAAAAAGGAGAGAGGAAGGGGCATAGGACAAAATATAAAGGATATGCCCTGGAGACCATGTTTCTTTAAGTAGGGCTCCACCTTCAAAACTTTCCAGCAATAATAACCCCAAGTTATGGATCTGTCTTAGATTAAGGCACAGAGCTCATGGTCATTGGATTTGTCACCTGGGAACTAAACCTAAACACATGAGCCTTTGGGGAGACACTTTGTAGGCAGCCTCCAGGGTAGAACACAGTGTCTGACTTTTGAGGAAGGGTAAATACAGAGTCTCACAACACAAGGCTGGCCTTGAGCTCACAACAACTTTCCTGCCTCGGCCCCTCAAATACTGAAATTAGGACAGGTGAGATTCCGTATGTCTACTGAGCAGGATGATGGTGATGCTTAGGTGATGCTCAGGTAGCAGGTTTCCAGAACGCCACAGAGAAAAGGGTCTGTCTAACAAGGGACTAAATGCCATATGCTGACAGATGTGTCATTGCCAAACTGTGCCATTGGCTACTTAGAGTGCAAGGAAGTTGTGAATGTAGATATGATCTTGAGTTCAGTAAGATGGAAGTCACTAATCCCCTTTACAAGTGTGGCTTCATAAGAAGGAGGTGAGAACTGAACTTGAGTCACAGAGACATGGACGATAAGGATGAATAGCTTGGACTGGAAGTAGACTCAAGCCTGATGGAGATTATATAGACATATGTAGGAGTGTTGAACTAGGGCAAGGGCCAGTGGCAGGACCAAAGTCCCTATTTGACCAGAGAAAATCCAATGACTATGTCACAGGGCTGGCTTAAAGCACGGGGCAGTAATGCTAAGTACTCTGTTCCAGAAATAGGTAGCGTGTTGGTAGATTCTTCAGGGGAAGATTTTTTTTTTTTATTATATAGCCATTGTACAAAATGATGGGTTTCACTACGACACTTTTTTTTCGTGTGTCTACTGTTCAGCTTTCCTGAAATTCATACCCAGGGTCCTCACCCTCCTGTCCCTCCCACTGGTTCCCTTATTCAGGAGCATATACATGTGTGTGTGGATGCATATACCCAAGAAAATATGCAAGGAGGCCAATGGTTCATGTCAGGAATCTGACTACCTTAGTTTTTGAGACTCTTCTTAAACCTGAAGCTCACCATTTAGTGAGCTCACAGGATCCTCCTGTCTCTGACCTCACAGCCTCTGGGGTTACAAGACTTGTCCCTTCTTGCTCAGCTTTTATGTGGGTGCTGGGGTTACAGACCCAAGTAGGTCCTCATGCCTGTACAGTAAGCATCCAAACCCAGGAAGGTTTTTTTTTTTTCCCAGTTTTTTCCCCCAGTTTTTTGTTTGTTTTTATGTGCATTAGTGTTTGCCATGGGTTTCAGGTCCCCTGGAACTGGAGTAACAGACAGTTGTGAGCTGCCCTGTGAGTACTGAGAGAGCAGTTGGTGCTCTTAACCACTGAGCCATCTCTCCAGCCCCCTGGTTTTTTGTTTGTTTTGTTGTTTTTCAAGACAGGGTTTCTCTGTGTATTTTTTAAAGTTCTCTACAATTGGTTTCCATTTTATGAGTAGAATTGGAGGAAACATTACTTGCTGAGAAGTGCAGGGAAGGGATGTTGGAGGAATGACAGAAAATGTCATATCTTCATCTTTGACAGAAGAGTGAACTAATGGGGAATTAGGCCTCTACTAAGTCCTTCTGCCCTGTAGGATTTTGAGTTCATGAGAATAAGAGCTTTAGTTCCCACCGATGCATCATTGTGGGATAACACATGTGGAATCTAACAGCATTGACATGAGGAGAGTAGTTACTGTTAGAAGCATAACCAGAAGCTCATAGAAGTACTATGGGTGCTGTTGAGCTTCATGAATCTGTCCTTCACTGAGAAGACAAAGCTTAAATAGCGACAGAAAGGAATTAGGTAACCTGACAGCATTTAGTCATCAGGCATCACATCCACCGAAGCATGCGTTCCCATAAGTTTTCTGTAACACTATGTGTTATTGTATGAGGCTGATATAACAATGTGTGTTATTGTATGAGGCTGATATAACAATGCTTGTTATTGGATGAGGCTGATATAACAATGTGTGTTATTATATTAGGCTATTCTAACAATGTGTGTTATTGAATGAGGCTGGTCAGTAGCTTCAGGAGGAGGTTCTTGAAAAGAGTAGGCTGCCACCACCCAGAGCAGATAGCACCCAAGTCCAGGTCTTGTTATACCTCTTTCTATTGCAGTGAGAGGGTTGTTACACTTATGCCTCAGAATCACAAGGCTGGGCTGTTTGCACATTTCCTCTTTGGTTTTAGGTATTTGGTCTCATCAAGGGAGCAAGAGTGGGACTCCTCATCGATATGTCCCAGGTCAGCAGTGGCCCTCAGAAAGAAGAATTCCAAAATGACCTCACAGTAAGTCCCCTGCATGAGGTATACCTCCCCAGACTCCACTTCTCCACCTTCCCCTTGCCTGCTGTACAAATTCACTGTGTTTATAGCAAATGCAAAACAGGGCCATTCACAAAGAGCAGTTCTCACTCAATTAGCACCTCCAGAAGAAGAAATGTGTGGAATTCGGTAAAACCTCACCACAGACTCATTTTCACTTACAGTGTGAACTTCTAGTATTCTCCCCACAGCAGAACCTCCCAGCTAGACACTCCACCCTGTAAAAGTCCAGGTTCCCTGAGACAGGATGTGGACTGGAGTCTGTTCCTTCCTTGGTCATCTGTTTGGGGATGACTGCAGCATAGCCAACACAGTGCTGGGCCCCTGGCCTTTTCCAGATGGTAAAGCTACTCAGCTTTCTTTGGGCTCTCCAAAGCATAAAGATGGAGTCAAATCCCAGCCACCTCCACCCCTACTAGGCTACGAGACCCTGCTACCCCTGTAAAGCAAGTGGGGAGGACAATATGGCTACCTCACACACACAGCCACCTCACACATTTGGCTCAGACAGACAAGTGAGGCATGTCTCCATGGAAATGTTTATAGTCTGGGATAGGCACCAACCACATTAACAACAGCTTATATTTTATGAAGGTTGAGCAGAGCCTTGAGAGGGTCCGTGTGGGACCACCATCCTCATTCAGCACTATTTAGCATAGCGCAATTCTCCACCCATCAGGGCAGCCTATACTAGAGGGTGTAGCCATGTGGCTAGGTTTGGTAGAATCCTGGCTGTGTGAACCACTCATGTCCCTCTTATTCACAGAGTCTCATTGATGAGCAGCTGAGCCTCAAGGAAAAGTTGTTTGTCCTGTCCTTCGGTGTCACTGCCAAAGCCCTCTGGCCAGACCCTGTGGAAGTCAATACCTCCACGTGAGTGGCTGCCAGGCCTCCACCAGATGCTTGCTTGCTAGTTCTGGTTCAATGGAATGTTTGTATTTTTGTTTGTTTGTTTGAATTAGGATCTAGTGTGGCCCAGGCTGGCCTCAAGCTTGCTATGCAGCTAAGGATGGCCTTGAACTTCTGATCTTCCTGCTTCCACCTTCTGAGTGCTGGGGTGGTAAGTGTACACCTAGTTTATGAGATGCTGGGAATGGAAACCATGGCTTCATACGTGCTGGGCAAACACTACCCATTGAGCTCTGTCCCTAACACTTCACTGAATGATTAAGATGCAAACTTCAAAACCATAACAGGTAGGGAGGCATACAGCAATGAACACAGCAGCAGAAATATAGGCAACAGTTCAGTTTAAAAGATGGTAAGATGGTTACCTCCAAAAGTTCTTTACAAAAAAAAAAAAAAAAAAAAAAAAGGATAAAACCACCACAAGACAGCTTGCTGGCTTTTTTTTTTTTTTTTAAAGTATTTATTACTTTACTTTATAATCCAGGACCTAGAGCATGCTGGCCAAGTGCTTTACCACTGAGTTACATCCCCAGCCCCAAACACCACTTTTATGCAGCAAACTAGAAATGAAAGCTTTATTATTATGAAAATAATCATGTGTGTTTTAAATAACCCAAACAATCTGAATGGATAAATAAGAGTGAATGAATCTCTTTTATACTGCCATTTCTACTCTCACCACCCAATAATATCTTTTAATATCTGTCTCCACAGACAGGCTACACACACATCCATGTCCTATCTGGTTTAGGCAGAAGCAAGACAGCTGGGCCTGGTGGTGCATGCCTGTGTGCCCAGCTAATAAGATGCTCAGGCCAAAGAATGACAAGTTTAAAGTCAGCCTGAGTTAACGTTGCCAGCCTGGGCAACTTAGTTATGCCCTGCCTCAAAATAAGCATTGGGAGTAAAAGGAGGTCAAAGGGCATATGGCTTTGTGTTACAGCATTGACCTAGCCTCTATCTGGAAGTAACAGCACAAGCCACAACAAGCAAACAGCACAAGCCACAACACGCAAACATACTATTCCATTGCATAGATGTCCTCTAGTTGGATAGGCTAGTGTGGGATTTAGGGGGATTTGGAAAGAAGATACATAAGAATGTCTGTTTGTGCCAGAAAGTAGAAATCTGTTGTCCATGATGACAGTGTCTTTAATTGACCCTATGACGTTAAGTATACCATGCTAGGTACTTTACAAGTATGAACATATTAAAAATCTACAGCTATTGTAATAGAATTATAATACCCTTTTTGTAAATGAGAAAATGTGGGCACAGGGAACATGCCTGGCTGGAATTGCAAAACTCAGAGCAGGAACAAAAGCTAAGCTTAGGATAGAGGCACCTGCCACCAAGCCTGGCAACTTGAGTTCAATACCCCAGAGCCCGTATGATTGGAAGGCTAGAACTGATCCCTGACCTCCATACGCACAGCATGGCATGCTCAGTCTACCTCCCCCCAAATAAATAAATGCACTAACAACCTAAGCTTTGATCCCCTTTTGCCCAGTACCACCAGGGAAGAGGGCAGTCCAGTGCTGGTCTCCACCACAGTGCTCACTCTCTCTCTCTCTCTCTCTCGCTATCTCTCTCTCTCTTTCTGAATAAAGCTCACAGAGTTGATGTCAAGTGAAATGAGGACCAGGATTCTGGCACGTGACAGCTACTCTGTGAAGCAGGAGATCATTTTCACTGTTTTCTGCTCCAGCTAGACCCAGGCGTCACTCTGAGATTATTTGGTCAAGAACTCGTCAGCTTCAGTCATCCCTGGGTGTCCCTTACATCCCTGTCATTTCTCTGCCTCAGAACCATGCCATTTGCTCCATTATTGATTTTTCATCACATCAATTCTATTTATTATTGAAAGGAAGTATTTATAAATACCATAACTGAGAGGTCCATATCACTTGCCATCTTTAGGAAGTATAAGTAAATGCAGTGAAAATAATATATTTCACCTTGAAAACATTATTGGCTGCAGAAAGTGCTTAGATTTGATGCTTAGACCTGAGACTCGGGCTCAGTGCTGAATTATTTGCAGGGCATATACAAGGCTCTGGGTTCCAGGTGCCTTAGGGAGGCAAGGTAAAAAGCCAACATATCTTTACACAGTTAAACAAATACAGCATAAACAAAAGCAACACACCTTTACATAGCTAAACAAATGCAGCATAAATAAATGCAACACATTCTTACATTGTTAAAGATTCTATTCCACAACAGGATGGCAACCTCATCTTATACTCACTTCATCTCCTTGATTGTCTTATTTTCCCTTGTGCTTGCTTCAATTTCCTGTCATTCAGTGAATCACAACACTAGAATCAATAGGCTATACCACATACATACCCCATACAGCTCAGGTATGTGGTAGGTTATGCCATCTAGGTTTGTATAAGTACATTCAGTAATGTCACACAATGGCAAAATCACCCAGAGACATTTCTAGAATATATCCTGGTCTATTATCCAAGCATGGAGCCACAAAGGCTATTGCCAAAGCCAAGGGAACCTTGGTGAAAGGGAAAGTATTGGCTCAGGATTCCCAAGATCAGGTTCTCAACACAAATGAGATTTATTTGCCCCAGAGGAACAAAAGGCAGGGATAAGGGACAAAGACAGGAGATAGAGGAAAGGGGAGAAGGGGAAGGGAACAAGAGAGAGGAGAGAAAATGGGCAAGGGAGAGCTGAAGGGATATTTGCCCCAGATGAACAAATGACTGCCTTTGAATAGAGAAGAGACCAATGTGGCCCATAAGAAAATGGTAGGTTATAGAGGTAAAATGAGAAACCCCCTGTTAGGATGTGTTTAATTTTAATTGGGCATGTTAATTAAGCAGGCCAAAGGGGGCTTTTGATTGCTGGACTTCAATACTTTGATAGCTGGACCTTGGTAGTCAGCCTTAAGAGGAGGAAGTGGCCAAATACAAGAGTGGACCTTGAGGGAATGTAATCTAACAAATTGTATCCTGGCAGAGGGAATTGACAAGAAGGGCAAGGCCTGCCAGAGCCATATGCTCGAGTGGGCTGGTGTCCCTTCACTTGGAGAACCAGGTCGTTAAGCTGCACATGACTTTAGTTAGGTTCTGTGTCTGCTTCCAGCCTCCAGGAACTCAAGCTCTGGGTAAAGAAACTGCAGCCCGAGGGAAGCAGCAATCTGCTACAAGCCTTGAGGAAAGCCTTGGTTCACAAAGAGCTGAATGCTTTGGTGACCATACTGAGAAGCTGGTAGGCCTCCTTTCTTCCTAAGCAGATAATGGACTACATAAAGGAGGTTAATGACCCAAGCAGTGTCAGACAAAGCATCACCAAGCATAATGCTTCACACACTCTTGAGAGAATAATTCTGTTCATAAGCTACCCAAGTATTCTCGGGGCCAGGGATGGCTAGGGCTGCTGTTCACCCTACATCTTACCCAGGTGACCTAGGACACAGAATGATTAGAGGGTGTGGGAAGTTGGCTCCTGTGTAAAGTACTCTTGAGCATGAGGACCTAAGTTCAGATCCCCAGAACCCATGTAAAAAAGCATTGTAAGCCTGTAATGTTGGCACTGGGGAGACAGCAATGGGAGCAACGGGTACTTCCTGACTAGCCAGACTAGCCAATTGGGGAGTTCCAGGTTCAGTGAGAGACCCTAGCTCAAAAATAATAGCAATGTAGAGAGTAATGATGGAAGACACATAGGGACTTCTGGCCTCCATATACACACATACATGCATGTACAATCACGCACAGGAACACGCGCACATGTAAATACACACACAATGAGGTGCTTCCTGGGAATTACCATTTTGACCTGGGATGTTCGCAGCAGTTTCAGTAGAAGTACCTGTGCCTCTTCTTCTGTCTGCTCCTCAGTCCAGATCAGCCTTCTGAATTCCTGTCTGACTACATCCAGCAATGCACCGTAGGACGGGACTTCTTCATTCATGTCACCACCTACAAATGCGACAATCATGTGCCCTCTGTGAGCATCTGAACTTTTTCAAAGCTCCCCCTTTACAGCTGGCAATAGGGAACTGGTCTGGCCTTGGAGACAGTGCCTGAGCAGGGCCCCCAAGCACATACCTCTCTTGTACCTACTTCTCCTGGCAATCAGGAAGTGTGGGAGGGTCGGTGTGGCTTTGCCAGGGCTGACTCTGTCACCATCCCCCAGGCTGTTCTGAAGAACCTCACAGATGTGCTTGGAGGTTTCTACCACTGCTACAACCCAGAATCAGAGGTAAGCCTTCTGAAGACCAGCTGTACCTACCACCTGCCCCGGGGCCGTGCCTGGGGAATCTGGCCAGGACAGACTATGCCACATGCTTTCTTTCCCCGATTCATCATGCTTGCTCTCCATGCCCAGTGACTTTGAACAGGTAAAATCACATGACAGTGAAAATGTGCAAAGAACAGGGGCAAGCTAAAGTCATAAGCTTTTGGTAGATTGTCTGATGAGCTGGTCACACACTTGTGAATCTAGAGATGTTTGCCTGTGCAGCAGAATCCTCCATCACTTTCTACAATATGAACACAGCCCTAGCTTGCTTCAACTCTCATCAGATCCTCCAGGCTTTCCTAAATAAGCCCCTACTATTGGGAGAGACTCACAGAAGGGCAGAAAGGGTGCTCCACCCCTTAGCAATCCATTCATTGATGCCCTTGTCTTAGTTAACAGCTAAGCACCGCTTGCTCTATGTTGTCAGAGGAGGTAGCAGTTAATGCACTGTTCCATCTGGCGGCTGCATCTGTCTGATGGAAGATTCAGTCTGGGGTGGTGTGGTAGTGGGGGGACTTCATACTGGCTGTGCTGTACGAATCAGAAAGATCTATCTCAAGTTGTAGGCCAGCTACGTAGCGAGACCCTGTCTCAAAACAAAACAAAAGGAATCAGTCAACAGCCATGCCTGCCAACAGCCACCTGGGGCACCGAGTAAAGGAGGGTTTGCCCCTCACAAATGGTCTCCCAGATCTTCCAGCCTCGTTTTAGGTGTCACAAAGTCTAGCTTCTCATGTTGAGCAACAGCCCAGTCACCATTTTACTGTCCCAACTCTGCTTATAGAGGCCACAGACTATATAGGGATAGAAAAAGGAAATGAACGAGAAAAGAAGATTAAAGAGGAAACATTTGTCTTGTTAGTCATGGACATGCCTTTAATCTCAGCACTCACTTGGAGGCAGGGGCAGGAGTATCTCTGTGAGTTCCAGGCCAGCTCTAGGACAGCCAGGGCTATATAAATAGAGACCTGAGAGCTGGGGGGGGGTGCTGGGAGGAGATCTTAAAATCCTATAATCCCAGCACTTGGTGTGAAGGCAAGAGGATCAAGAGTTCCTTGGCTAGATTGAGAGCTTGAAGCCAGCCTGGTCTGTATGAGACCTGATGTCAAAGGAACATAAAGAAAGAGAAAAGCCAGTGAGATCGCTCATTACTGCTTCTACAAGGTACTTGCCACCCAGCCTGATGACCTGAATTCTATCTTCCAGGATCTACATAGTAGAAGGAAAGAACTAACTCCCACATGTTGTCCTCTGACCTCCACATATTAGCTAAGGTACTCTTGTGTGTCTGTGCACATTCACACAGACAGAGAGATGACAGAGATGAGAAAGAGATGACAGAGAGAGAAAGAGATAATAGATGCAATTAAAAACAAAAACAGGAAGCCAGCATCCATGAGCATCCCCTGGTCACTTTATCCTACCCCACTCTCTGGCAGCTCTCAACTGCTACCCATCTCTGTGGACGTACCTGTTGAGAGCATTTCACCTAAATGGAAGCATACACCTTTTGTACCCTGCCTCTCTCACGTAGCACGGCATGTTGTAGCCACTGTAATACGTCACTTTTATGGGTAGGTGACATTCTGTTGTCTAGACGGAGTAACATTTTGTCTCGCCCTTCATCTGTTGCTGGATGTTGGGTTTTCCTCTTTTTGGCTACTGTGAATGTCGCTGCTGTGACAGCTGTACAGGACAGTGATCTGCGGCATTAGAGTGAAACTGCTGGCTCCCAGGCTAATTCCAGGGTTGATTTTGGTTGTTGGTGGTGTGCTTTTTGTTTTTGTTGATTTGTTGTTTTGTTTGTTGATTGGTTGGTTTTTCTTTTTTTTTTTTTTTTTTTAATGTTTGTTCTTTGAGACAAGATCTGAAGCCAAAGACATGGCTCAGTGGCTAAGAGCACTGACTGCTTTTCCAGAGGACCTGGGTACAATTCCCAGCATCCAAAGTTGGTTCATCACTGTTAGTATCTTCAGCATACATGTGATGCATTGACATGCATACAGGCAAAACACCTACACACATAAAATAAAATAAACTTTTGAAAGGCACAGTCTCACACTATAGCCCAGGCTAACCTCAGACTCATAGCCATCTTACTGTTTCTGACTCCTAACTGCTACAATTGCAGGCATATATCACCAGACCTAGCTCTTTGTAGTTTTTTGAAAGATAGTCTTCCTATGTAGCCCGGACAGGTCTTAAACTTAGCAGTCTCCTTGCCTCTGCCTCCCAAGTTCTGAAATCAAAAGGTGTTCACTAACATACTTGGAGTCTATGTTTGTTTATTTATTTATTTGTTTGTTTATTTTGAGAAACCACAAGAGCTGCACCATTCCACATTCTCACCAGTAGTACACAAGTGTTCTAGTTCTCCACTTTCTTATCAGTATCTGTTGTTTTAAAATTAGTATTAGTGTGTGTATGTGCACATACATGTTGAGGATGCTCGTATGCCTAGGCATGTATGTGAAGGTCAGAAGACAACACTGTGGAGTTCTTTCTTTTCACATTTAAATGAATTCCAGGGATCAAACTCAGGCTTACACAGCAAGTGCCTTTCCCCACTGAACCATCTTGCTATAGAAATTTTTAAAATTGCTATTAATATCATCATTGCCATCCCAGAGATGTAAAATGTTCCTTTTTTTGAGACAGGATCTTTCTATGTAGTCCTGGCTCTCCTGGAACTTGCTAGATAGGCCAGGCTAGCCTCAGACTCACAGAGATACTCCTACTGCTACCTTCTAAGAGCTGGGATTAAAGGTGTGCATCACACCTGCCTTAAAATGTTCCTTTGTAAAGTTAGAAAACCTTCCAGCTGTTCAAATTCTGAAAGTTAGTTCTGTACACATGGAACAAAAATATACTGGTAGGCCCTGTCTAGTATATGGACCTCAGTCTATTACCTCAGTTTCAAATAGACAGCCACACAGCCTTGGGAATTGACTTGCATGCTTGCCTTTTCTTACATTTGACAACTACTGCCATCCAGTTTCTGGCTATCTCATTGCTTCCATCACTCCCAGGTCTATACAAATAGGGATGTGGATGAGCTCCTAGCAGAAACCCAGAAGGCTCAAGACCTCCTCAACCAGGTGCAAGCCTTGCGCCACAGCGGCCCATGTGAGGAGCTGGCCTGCATGATCAAGGAAGTAGGCGACATTCCACCATTGATTGCCTTTCATTGCTGACACAATAGCTATGTGAATTAACCTCTGAGGCCTCGGTTTTTTCACTATAAAACTGCCCATAACAGGAGGTGGGGCCAGATCAAGGCTTGGTGGACTGATCCCTTGAGTTTCCAGAACCTTGTGATCTCAGTCCATGGTTCTTGGATCTTGGGGGAGAGGTGGACAATGGAAGAGGAACAGGTTGCTGGGGACCCTTTCCTGTTCCCTGAAAATCCAGAAAATCCTCACAGTTGCCTTCAACCCATCTGCTAATGTTTTAAAAAGCTCCACCTAGGGGGAGGGGTGAGTGGGGAAGAACGTTCCAGCTCTGAAATGTGATTGTGTAACGACAATTTTGAAATTGCACATAGATCTCTACAGAGATTGCCAAAGGGCCATTCACAAGTCTCTTACCTAAACCCCCGAAGCATGAAGCTCCTCTCACAATCAAGTTTCCAGACTTGGAAAAGACTTCTGCAGAATGGCTCAAGGTCAATGGTCTAAAAGGTATTAAATCCCCAGAGAGGGCAGGACCCAGGTGGCTGATCAGGCTTGGAAACTTTGAGGCCTCCCAGGTGTGCCTCAAAGCTAATGTGTTTTTCAGCCAAGAAGTTAAGCCTTTATCAGGTTCTGGCACCCAACGCCTTCAATCCTGTGGAAGAATTTGTGCCTGTTCTCCAGAAAACAGTGTCAGCTACTGTCCATGAGGTAATTCCAGGTCAAGCTTCTCTCCAGTCCTCTGCAGTACTCCCTTATGCTACTTCCCATCTTATGTTACATTCAGACAGTGGAAGCTTAGGGCAGAGCCAGACAAGCATGGGTGTGAGGGCCTGGATGGTATTCAGGGTTTCCATCCAGAACTCCAGGGCGCTTATAAAATCTAGGGTAATGAGGCTGGAGATGCAGCTCAGGAATGAAGTAGATTCAACATGCATGGGCCCCTGGGCTAAGTACTCAACACCAAAGTATAAACAAGCAAACACAATCTACCATAACTGCTGGTTTTCAAAGATCTGAAAATGGGAGCTAGGATGAAGCCCAGTCTAGAGAAAGTTTGCCTTGCAAGCATGGAAGACCTGAATTTGATCTTCAGTCCCATATAAAAATGCTGGACATAGTAGTACACTCTGCCTCCTGAGTGCTAGGATTAAAGGCACACCTAGCCACCAATAGGTTTTAGTGTCTCTGATTCTTCCCTATATTACCACAACACTCTAACCATGCCTTAGTGGCTTTGATGTTGAGGGGATCCCCCAACAAGGCACCAGACTTGCTGTCAGGCATGGCTCATTCAGTGAAACACACACATATACACCTCCCTCTCCTCCACCCCCACCCTCAGGCTCCTGAAGGCTTCAGACAAGGCCAAGTGGTGGTATGTGTGTGTGGGGGGGGGGGGTAAGTAGGGAAATCTTAATCCAGATGTGCTTAGAACCAGTTTCCTTTCGTGCATATGAGTTGGAGAACCCAGTGCCCAATTTAAATGTAACATTTTCCATTCATGCCTCCACTTACCTGTTCTCCATTCTACCCATTTCTGAGTGCAGAAAGCAATGGTACAATTTGAATGGCATGATGGGACAGTGAAGAATATCCATGTGGACCCACCCTTCCTCTATGAGTACCAGGTCAGTAATGGGTCCAACCCATTAGAATATGGATTGCAAAAAGGTGCTATGGGCTAAATAGACAATGAGCCATTGGCCAAATTTCCTGTGTGTTTCTATGGGGACCTCCTTATACAGGGACATAGATGCTGCACACAGGAGTCTCTGGTCCTTTGGGGTGATATCTGTCTGTCCCACATTTGAAGGAAGTACATGGGCTCTCCCTTTCATAGTTTTGTGGTAGACTAGTAGCACCTGACCTAGCAAAGTGTTTATACTGCCCATACGTACCATTTCCAGAAAACATCTGAAATGCCTCCCCTCCTCACAGCTCCAGGCTTTAATTGCCATGCTTGGCACACTCACTCATGGCAGTCCATGTTTTTACAGAAGCAGCTCGGGAAAGCTGTGCAGATGTACAAGAGTAGGCTCCGGTGGCTCTCCATGGCCAGCAGAAGAATCTGGGGCACTGTCTGTGAAAGGAGGTACTGACCCTGCAAAGTACACTCTTGTTCTTTGTGGGGTCTGGTGTGTGGCCCAGTGTTTATCCAACTCCTCTCTGCCCAGGGGCAGCCTCAGAGGTCATCACCCACATCAACCATCATCACATCTCAAGATCCTTTTAGTTAGAAACAACAGAGAGATGGGCATGATGGTACATACCAGTGATCCCAGATCCTGGAAGGTTGAGGCAAGGGGATTACAGATTTGAGGCTAGTGTGGGTTACATGGCTAAACACATACACACATACACACACACACACACACACACACACACACACACACACACACACGGATAACTGAAGCTCACAGTGAGCGTGAAGCATAGCAGTCTGATGAAGGCACCTGAGAATTCTAGCCCAGGCTTGTCAGCGGTGTGCCTGCATCCAGAGGGTTCCTCTTGTCAAGAATCCCCCAGCTCTGCTTTCCTCTCTGTGATTGTTTTCAGATAGGATTTTCCCTGCAGGTAACAATATAACCATGGAACCACTTACTACCAGCTTTGCATTTCCAGAGCTTGAGCATCCATGGGCCATCAGACTGGCCAGGGAGACATGATATTCTGAATTCCCAGGGTCAAATGCCCACTTTTGAAACATGGTGTGTGCCATCTCCACCCAATTCACGTGAACCCGATAGAGACAGTGCTGTTCCCCAGGAGGAATGAGGATGCCATTGGCAGAAGGGATGAGGAATGCTGAATTGGGCAGCGTGTTGGGGGTGGGGGCATTATCCTAATATACCTCATTTGATACACTATAATTGACTATAAGGAAAGAGAGGTCCTCTGACTTGGAATCACCACATACAGTCCTCAGCACTTAAACGGCCTTCACTATATTCCTCTACAGAAGAAAGACACAGGTCCCACAATACCCCGGATTACTATTATAAGCCTACTTCTGTTGGCCTCAAACCACAAAGATTCTGGGCCATCTATGAGTTTGGCATGCAAAATCCCCCCTGGAAAAACCTTTAAATAGTAAAATGGAATGGAACAAACTCTATCTGAGAGATTCGGATTGCCTCTTGAAGCTTGTGTTTCTCTTTAGGGTTGTTATATTGCTGGATGTCTCGGTGACCAATTCCATGTACATTATTCATATCCAGCACTCCCTGCGCCTGCTGCTAGAGGAGCAGCTGGCCAACAAAGACCACTTCAATATCATCGCGTAAGTCTCTGCAGTCCCCCATGGGGGTCAGGGGAGAGGCTGTGTGTGGATGCCACCACCGGACTGTGGCTTCAGGCAGACAGCTGGGCCACAGACAGTGATGTTATAAGGGTGCAGCATCCTAGGATGCCCCTCAGTTTATCTGATTCGGGTGATCTTGTTTGGGGTCTTAAATAATTGAATGGCTGCAGGACTGTCCCACTGGGGCAAAGGTGGTAAGTGGCCCCAAAACACATGACTTGATCGTTCAGGATGATGTAAATCAGCCCATTGCCCCATTTGGCTTTCAAGCTTGTAAACACAGCAGAAAAAGAGGAGGACCCAGCCATGCCCTGGTCTTAAATCTTAGCCTGGTTCTAGCAAGCATTGCAAATACTTGGTACTCCAATTCTAAATTAAATTTTAATCTATAAATAAGCAGTATATAAAATTTGAATATAAATATATATACATATACATATATGTGTGTGTATATATATATATAATATATAATCTTAAGCTATAGTTTTAAAACAATTTTGAGGCAAGCCTGGGCTACACAGTAAATACCAGGCCAGCCATGGATGCATAGCAAGACCGTGTTTCAAAAACAGAAAATATACATTTTTAATTTCATACAATTTTAACTAAAGAAGGCCTAAAAGGAGCCCACAGGATATGTTATCAGTCTATTAAGTCAGCAGGTAGTACTAAATAATAGGCCAGGGCCTAATCTTTCCTTTCATAAATTCAAATGAAAATGTTTAGGGCAACATTTTCCTTTTTTATTAGCACATAACAATTACCCAAAAATAATGAGCTATATTATGACATTGTCATGTATGCATATAATATACTTCTACATACTCATCCCTATTGTCCTCTCTTATCCCTCCTTGCCCCTCTCTTGCTCCCTTCCCTGGAGAGACATTTTATGCAGTGTTTCCATCTGTTTATCTACCTATGAAGTCAACAAGGTTTCATTGAGGACCTGCTGTACGCCAGGCAGTGTGCAGGCACTAGGATCCAGAAATGAATGTACACAGTGCCTGTCCCCAAGGAACTTATGGCCTAGTAGGGAAGACCCATTAGAAATAAGTGCTGTTGAGTGTTTCCTGATGAATAGGCAGAAAGTTCCATGGACGGTGAAGGATGGAAGGCAGGCTCAGCCCATTCTGTCTGTGCCCAGGAAGGTTACGAAGCCTTCATGGAAGTACCACCTCTTAGCTGGGTCCTGATGGCTGGATAAGGTTTGCCCTGCTCATAGGGATGGTGTGCACTAAGGAAGGGGCACCCCAGGGAGAGGGAGCAGCATGAGCTGAAATGCAGAAATAGTGAGGCACGACGGAATTGTAGGGACCGTGGAGTAGTTCCATGAGGATGTACAGACAAGACGCTTTGTGGATGATGGAGAATTTATACAGGTCTATGCTCAGGGGTTTTGAGTGTTGTGATATAACATGATCAGGTTTTCATCTCCAAATGTTGAAGCAGGAATGTGGAGGGTGATGAGAAGGCCTAACACCAGAGAGAAGGGGATCAGTGTGCTTCTGTTGTAGTCAGGCTAATGGAGTGAGGGGAAGAGAGGAAGCAAGAGAGAGCACTGATGATCTGTGGGCTGCAGAGGGAGGAGCGGCTCGGCTGTAGGGGCTGTAGGTAGGATGGGGAGATGATAGCTCAGGCACGGCAGAGGTGGCTTTAGCCAGGGCTAGTGACACACCAGCAATCCCAGCACTCAGGAGGCAAAGGGAGGAGAGTCAGTTGGTGGTGGTGGGGGGAATAGTTTTAAACACAGTAAATGAGTTTCCTAAGAGCTTGGAGATCTCTAAAAGTGTCCTGGCAGGGGTTCCAGGAAGGAGTCCTAGCAGAGAAGCTTGGCTTTGGGAGCCACTGGTGCCCAGGTATATGGTTGGAACAATGTTTACCCCAGTAGGGAGGAGAGAAGACAGAGAGCACTGAGCAAGCACCAGGGTTTCACTAAAGAAGAGGGTGACCAACAAAGACAGGAAGGGAAGACAGAATATAGGAAGAAAACAACAGAGACTGGAGTTGGAAAGGCAAAGGAAAGACGTGGGAGAGTATTGCCTAACATGCTCAGCACTTACCTACACTGCAGGGGAAAAATGTCCTCGGCAACCAAAGGAGCAGAAGCAAGCAGGTTATGAATCATACATGCTGAATAGCTCCATTTCTACAAATATATTTATCTGTGCATTTTAATGAAAAATGGAAAAAAAAGGGCTAAGATTTTAGGAGAGTTGATGGAACAAAAATGTTTTGCTTCTTTGTATATTTTGGATTCCCAACCCAAGTGCCATAGAAGATTTGTGAACTGACTCCTAGAGACACCCGCTGCAGGTGGCAGGAAGAGGCAAGAGCGCCCTCCAAGGCAGATGCATGAGAGCGGTGGTTTGAAGTGGGATCAGTAGTGTAGCAGCTTTTCCAGGGAGTTTGTCCGCGTGTCAAAGGGAAGAGAGAGACGTTACTGGGAGACAGAGTAGGTTCCCAAGGCACCAGAGTGGAGGGCTCACAGCTGTATGGGGTGATGGGAAAGGGGCATGGAATGTGTCTAATGAGGAGTTATATGGGGTTATCCGAAGAGACTGGCACAGAGTTCCATCTTGACACAGAGAAAGAAAGGTACATTGTCATCCATCAGGGGATAAATTCTCCTCTTGGGAATCTTAAACTCTGTCTTAGAAAAAAAAAAAAAATGAGATCATGGGCTCCCTGTGGGGACAAAAGAGTTCCTGCTGAGAGGGGAGACTTCAGAGTATCAGAGCCAAGCAGCCAGAGCTGTCCCTGCGCTCTGTTCTTGCTTGAGAATCTTGGTGCTATCCCAAAGGGAGTTTGCTTCAATGTGTTGTGATGAACAACAAATTTTGTGACTACCCCAGGCCAGCAATGTCCCAGCATTTTGGGGATTATTGTCAGAATTTTGTCTCCCTAAAGGCCTGTAAAACCTAAAAACCAGGGACAGAGAATGGACGTAAGTCCTAAAAGTAAGCCCCCTTTTGTCCCTCAAAGGTTTGGAAGCACAGTTCAGAGCTGGAAGCCTGAGATGGTTCCCATGAGCCATGACAACTTACAAAGCGCCTGGCGGTAGGTGGCTGAGCATTTCTGTTGCTGTGTCTTAGCTGCCTCCTGCCATTGTCTTCCCAATCCCCCTTTCTACCTGGATGTAGCTCTCTGTAGACCCGCCCTCCCACAGCGAGGGCAGACATTAGAAAACAACGTTCTTCTCACTGTCCTTGGGACCTCAAGGCCTTATGTCCCTGTCTCACCAGGTGGGCCCTGGGTCTACAGTGTCAAGGAAGCAGAAATGTACTCAGCGCTCTGCGGAAGGCCATAGAAGTGGACTTCAAGGACAAAGACAAACATGAGTCTCAGGGCCTCTACCTCTTTACAGGGGGTATTCCTGACCAAGATATTGTGAGTAGCTTCCATCCTGGACATCTTTGTTGTTGAGATAGGGTCTGCCTGGAACTTGCTTATGTAGGCCAGGCTGGCTTCAAACTTACAAAAGCCCACCCGCCTCTGCCTCCCAAGTGCTAGGATTAAAGGCATGAACCACCATGTTCCTTTTTTTATTGTTTTTTTTTTTTTTTAAACTTTCTGCAGTTTTGAGTATAGGCTCCAGGCCTTTGCTTTTGCTAGGCAAGCATTCTACCCTGAACCACACCCCTCAACCCAGCACAAGCATCTAGACTACCTCTTCTCACACTTCCACACAGTCAAGAACCTAGGGATATAGTCACAACCCAGCTCCTGGCTCAGCAGGTCTCAGTTGGAGAGTGAGAGTTCACTATCGACAAGCTCCCAGCATGTCCATGCTGCTGTGTGGCATAGCCGGGTTCTCGGGCCCCAGTCCCTGCCACACCCTGTTAAAACAGGAGAAGAAATTGTGCCTCAGGTTCATGTCTTTCCATCTTTGCACACAGCACTGAACCAAACACATGCTAGGCCATCAGGAAAGGTGATTGGGGTTTAAAAAATGGCTCAGTAGTTAAGAGCATCTACTACTTTTGTCAAAGACCCAAGTTCAATTCCCAGCATCCATGTCAGGAAGTTCACAACTGCTACTCCAGAGGATCTAATACCCTCTTCTGGCCTCTGTGGGAACCTGTGCTTGCATGCATACACCCCCCCACACACACACACACCTGGACATACACTAACACACAATCAGAACTGTTCTTTTAGAGGGAGATGGCAGGGGAACTCTTGGGAGAGCAGCAGCTCCCAGGCCCTCAGGTGTGGACTTCATGTCTCTCTTCCCTTCAGTCCATGCTCAGTGCATATGTGGCAGAGGCCTGTGGAGGTTGTGACCTCCAGCTGAATGTTTGTCTCTTCTATGTGGGTGAACCACAACTGGATACTAAGCCCCCTGTCTGCTATGCCAGCCGTACGGACACAGCTACTGCCTACAAAGAGCTCACCCGCGCTGCCAGAGGTCGCCTCCACTGGTTTGGGGAAGCAGGTATGTGGGTGTTTCCTGTTCCCTTGCCTCTTTCTTTCCAGACAATGTCTCAGCACTGGTCCCTTTTGATATTGAAATAGGGAAACAACATGTGACAGTCCTGTTTATTAAATTAGGAAGGCTAGAGAGATGGCTCAGCTGTTAAAAGCATTAATTGATCTTCCATAGGACCCAGGTTTGAATCCCAGCACCCATATGGCAATTCACAACCATCTGTAACTTCAGTTTGAGGGGTTCCAATACCTTCTCCTGGGCTTCCAGGACATCTGTCACTGATATGGTGCACAGACACATGCAGGCAAAACATCCACACATAAAATAATAGAACAATTCTAAAAAATAAAATTAGGAGGCCAGAGACATGGTTCATTGGGTAAAGGGGCTTGCCATCAAGCCAGAGTTCAATCCCTGAATCATACTTGGTGGAAGAAGAGAATCGAATCCCACAAGTGGTTCTCTGACCTTAATACATGTTACAGCATGCACATGTATGTGTGTATGTACACACACTTAAATAATATAAATTAAAATGGGAGACTAGGGACATAGCTCAGTGGTCAAGGGCCACACATAGCATTCATAAGCCCTGGATTCCATCCCCAGTCCTCAAAAGGCAAAAGATAAAAATGTTAAACTAATGTTCTGGAAATGGCTAGTAATGATGGATGTACAATAACATGAATGTACTTGGCCACTGAGGTATGCAGTTACAGTAACTATGAACAGATAGATGGTGCAGCTCAGTGGTTAGTCCTTTATATATCCAGCCCCCCTCCCAATGTAACATGATAGTTTATGTTGGGTAAATCTTATTGTACAGGTCCCAAAGTATGGTATATTCACAAGTGACCTATAAAATATCTATAGATGGTACATGGAGCAAGGTTGTGCTCTCCTCTCTCTCTCTCTCTGTATTTGTATGTGTGTATGTAATAGTTATGATAACTATGAGCTTATTTTAACATTTTAGAAAAATGCTGACTTCATTTTGTTGGCTGTAACAAATTTTCATTTTTAAAATATTCTTAAAAACACAAGAAGTAAATGAAATTAAAATATATGAAACAAGTGATGGCTTGAGGTATGCATGTGCAAAAATCTTTACAATATGTGGGAGGAATTGAACCTAGGTCACACTAATTCCTTCCAAGCTCTGTGTCTCACAGATGAAGTGACTTCCAGGCAGGACATGCCTGGGGGTGGAGCTGTGGAGTTGTTTTCAGATCTTTCTTGCTATAAACTTGCTGGATATGTTCATTGACATTCCCAGCAATGATCACTAATAATAGCAAACACAGAACAGCTCTGAGATGTCAAACGCAGCTTAAGCATCTTACGTACACTATAAAGCTTGATCATCACTATAACCCCATAAAGTGGGGGACTATCTGCCCTGCTGAGCAGATGAGTAAGTTGAGGCACAGCCTCAGTCAGGTTAGCGTTAATACCCAGTGTCCTTGCCAAATATTAGAGTCAAGAGTGACATTGATATGCTCACTGCAAATGTTAGTCACTGTAAATAATTACCATATAGGTAATTCCCATTCCATTGAGTAGCAGAGACCTTTGTACTTAACTTGTCCTTCCTGTAAGTGCCAGGACACTGAGTCCTATGGCCAGTTATACTCCTGATGACAACATACCACTGTATGATACAGGGTTGGGGCTGGTCAGTTCAGTCCACTGTGGTCCCATCTTGCCTCTTGGGTTTGCCACTTCCACATGGCCTTCATGCATGCAGATATTGACACTTGCTGAGATCCACACCCTCCCCTAATGCTTTGTGAATGTGCTTTGTTCCCAGGTATTTATGAGAGTGATGACATCAATGCCATCATATCTGAGATAGAAAAAGCCCTCAACTACTCCCAAAAGGTATGTCTTGGGCTCAGGTTTAATACATATTTACGGTCCCTATGTTTAACTTCCATTGCTGCTGCAACAAAATGCTACAAGCAAGGCAGTTTGGATCAAAAAGACATTTATACTTCTGTGCTTCCAAGGACTAGAAGTCTGAAATCAAGGTAGCAGCAGGGCCATGTTCCTTCTGTAGGCTATGGGTAGAACCCTTCATTATTGCATCCCTTTAGTTTTGACAAAAAGCAAGTGGGTTGTATGCTTATTATAAATGGGATGGAAGGCTTCTAAGACTATTACAATAGAGGAAACAGTTCAAAACCAAAACCCCAAACACAGAAGAGATAACTGTGGATTTGTAGCCAGTGAGCAGTCAATGGATGGAAAACCACTAAGAAGAAACTGATTAGGCTTCAAGGTTGCGAAGGTTCCTGTTAAAACTAGCCCAAGGAGCTAAAACTCAAGTGGGAGTGATATGGATATCAAGAGGAGAGTGGCCTTGCTGAACTTACTGAGTGAATTATTTGCTAAAACTGGGCTGAGATGGTCAAAGTGGAGGCCTAATCAAGAAGATGCCTCTAACATTTGGTCCATGACCACGCTTGGGCATTCCTCAGCTCACTGAGCATAACTCCAACCTATGCTTCCATCTGCACATGGCTATCTGCCCTCTGTGTGTTGGTTTTTTATCTCACAAGAACACTAGTCATACTAAATTGAAAGGCCTGTCCTACTCTGATATGACATCATCCTGACTTACATTTTAATTTCAGCTGCAAAAGACATTATTTTTAAGGTCACATTTGCAGTTACCAGTTGCAATGTATCTTAGGAGACACAAATCAGCTCACACCAACTTTCCTTTCCATGTCTAGATCCACTAACAGCCAAAGCTTCAGATGGAACATGGGGTTTCCTTTCTATCATTGGAGTTTGACCTATATGCTGTTGATTCTGGACTCCTTTGAGTTCCTTCAACACACCAAGCCTCTTCCTAATCTCAGCGTGTGTGTGTGTGTGTGTGTGTGTGTGTGTGTGTGTGTGTGCGTGTGTGTGTGGTTTTTCAAGACGGGTTTTCTCTGTATAGAGATCTTTGCTGGAACTTGCTTTCTAGACCAGAGATCCTCCTGCCTCTGCTTCCCAAGTGCTGGGATTAAAGGTGTGCACCACCACCTTCAAGCCCCAATCTCAGTCTTTGCACCTGCTGTATCCCCTGCCTGCTATTCTTTCCTAGATCATCCATGGCCTGTATTTGTTACTCAATATTCGTTTTAAAAACTTCTTCCCCAAAGGAGATTTGAATAGTACAGGTGAAATTAGAAAGATGGGAAGGGACCAGATCATGCCAGGAGTAATGAGAATGGGAATAAGGAAACAGACAGGAGAATATTTAAAGATGAATTAACTACATTTACAGCTGATGGAACATACAAGGTGAGAGATAAGAAAACTAAAGTAGTTCCCAAGATCTTCTCTGGGGTAACTAGCAGATAGTAGTGTTATTGTCCAACCGAAAGAGAACATAGGAACAGTCTATGGTGTGTGTGTGTGTGTGTGTGTGTGTGTGTGTGTGTGTGTGTGTATAAGAGAGTATGAGACTAAGAAAGGTGGGCTTGCCTATGAGATAACAAATGAGGATGACCTGAAGGCAGATGGGAAAAGATAAGGGGTAGAGATGGAGATTGGAGTAGTTCAAGCATGGGATGGATTGGGAGTTTGTAGGGCCCATAGTCAAGCCAAGGGAAGAATCTGTGAAGGTCTCACCCTGCTCAAATGTTAGTTCCTACCGGCCATAGAATGACTCATCTCCACATAGGAATGTAGCTGCACAAGATGGCAGAGCCACCGTGCATGTTCTTTTTCTCCATGGCTGTTGGGTCAGTGGAGTGGTGGCTCCCCAGATGTGCCTTAGCTGTCTTCCTGAAAAGGCTCATCTAGGGTCTATAAATCCCTGGTTCTTAAATGCAAACCATTCCACTCTCACCCCCAACAAACTTCCAGTGTATTAATGGACAGCAATACCCTAAGCCCATCTTCTTTTGGATGTTAGCTTATGTTCAAAAAGTCTTCTTCAGTGCTCTGAGTATGAAATAGTGAACTAGCTTTTGGGAAGGTAAGAAAATTCTAGACAAAAAGAGTAATCACTGTACTGCAGTTCTGCCGGTGTCCTGTTGGTCATGGGATATGGTGAGCTGACTCTGGCTGCTCAAGGGTTTAGTATGCTGGCTTGCCCAAGCTCCTGGGGTTGACTTGAAGCTCCTCCATTAATGAGTAGTGTGGCCTTGGACAAGAACCTTGTGCTCACAGATTTTTGGTTTCCTATTCAGTAAAGCAGCATCTTGGCTTCTTCATCAATGTAACAAATATTTGAGAAGAAACAAGTTAAGGGAGGGAGGAATTATTTTAGCTCCTGGTTACAGAGATTTCAGCCTACAACTTGTTCCTTGGCTGTTGACCTGAGGTGAGGCTGAGCACCATGGATGGTGGGGACATAGGTGAGTCTGAGCATCATAGTGAGGACTTAGGTGAGTGAGTGTGAGCATCATAACAGGGGACACAGGTGAGGCTGGGAATCATGGCTGGGGACATGGATGAGGCTGACATCATGGTAGGATAAATAGACGAGACTGAGCATCATGGCGGGGACACGTTCTGGAACCAAGCAGCTGATTTTGTGGCAGACGGGAAGCAGAAAGGGCAGGACCGAGGGAGGTCTGGTTCCCACAAATCTGCCTCCAAATGACCTTCTTCCAGTGAGGCCTCTTCTTATGGTTTCTAGAACCTCTCAAGGCAGTGCTAAGGATGAAGCACTTGATACATAAACCAGCAGGAGATAATTCACACTCAAACCATAAGAGCTGGGTATGAAGTGGCATTACCCTAAGAGCCTGAGATCTCAGACATTAATTTGCCCAGTGACCAATATAATAAGAGCATCCTTATTCTTCATAAGATTAACCCATTGCCCCAAACTACATTCTCTGGGCAGAAAGAAATATGGAGAGAATTCTGTCCTGCTGTGCATGTGTGTTCATCTATCCACAGTGGCCAGTGTGCTGCTAACCACCCAACCCTCTTTGCAGTGTGCCTTCCTCGTGGCTTCCCTGAAGAACCATTCGGGAAAAGAACTGCAAAGCGTAGCCCTCCAAAAAGACAAGCCAAAGATGCTCAAGCAAAGTTCGCCCAAGAATCTCTGTCCTCCCAAGCCCACAGCCCCCTCGGTGGCCAGAATGGTTTGACTCCCTTCCCTAATAACACACAGAGGATTTGTTTCCAGTTTGTCTCCTTGTCTTTCCTAGATCTTAAAAGGACTGGGCCAGGCCCCAGGACTAGCACTGGTGGGGGCAGAGACTCGGGGAGGGATGTTCCCTGGGGACTACTGGGAAGAGGACCAGCCTCTTATCTTAGAGGTGACATCTATGGCTTCCCTACTCCCCTGTACTTCATTCCATAGATTGGTTCTAGGATCTCCATGGAACTACACCCTCGTCCTCTATATGTGGTAACTCAACCTGAAGGGTTTGTGAGTGAAAGAGTAAGGTCACTACTAGTAGAATTTTGTTGCTACAAACCAAGCTTAGCGGGGGTATGACCGACTCTCAGACTTAACCTAAGCTAGGTGGGGATTGTCATCATTCAGGGCCATCAAAGGTGTCCTGCATAAAATACTGGTCACCTAAGTGATCAGAGGGCCTTCTAGAGGGGAGACCCTTCACAGCACAGTGCTGTGAGGGCTGTTCAGCAGGTTGATGACTAATGAACACACATTTCAGAATGGGGAAGTCTATCCTAGGGATGCATGGCTTAACCATGGGACTGCATTTCCAAGGCCTTCCATGGTTTCACTCGAGAAACCCAACATCCCAGACTCATTCCCACCTCTCTTAATATCTCCCAATTCTAGGAGAATCCCAGAATCCCTGGGCCATCTGTTGGGACCTTCAGTGGTTCATGATTTGACTCCATATGAGGACTGCCAGGCTGCACCATGGCTTCTATTAGGCCCTCCTGACAGGCTGGGCACTCCCTGGAGTGATAGCATTTAGGCCCTTTTCACCACAGTTCACAAAAGGGTCCCTTTGCTGGCCTGGTGCCTCAGCTGACATTATTAAGCCATTCTACATTCTATTTATACCCAGTAAGGAAAGAATTCCTCTAAAACAGAGGGACCCAGGAAGACATAGAAATGTCAGGTAGACTGGTATGTGCCTTTAATCCCAACACTTGGGAGGCTGAGGCAGGCAGTTCTCTATGAGTTCAAGGCCAGACTGGTCAATAGAGCAAGCTCCAGGGCAGCAAAAGCTACATAATGAGACTCTGTCTCAAAACAACAACAAAATTAGAGCATAGAAGTTACCTAAATGGGTTTTTGCCATGCTGGAGACCCAGAAAACCTAGTCTAGTAGGAAGAAAATCAGGAAATTAGTAAAGAACATTCTGGCAAACACCCATTGCTCCTCTAGTGCTCTTTCATACTACATGCATGAATGCACACATTCATATGCCTTCTCACTCCCAAACCCAGACCCCACCCTCCACCCTGTGAAATCTGCTGCAGAATATAGGCTAAATGTGCCTAAGGTGCTAACTCCCTTAGGTCCCTCCCTGGAAACGCTCTTGATTGGCAGGTTGAGGTCAGGGTGACTGGGGAACTGCCCACCACAGGCAACATCTCTCTGATGGGAAAGATGGCCTGTTTTCTAGAACATTCAAGATGACCTGGATGGAGAAAGGAGCTCCCAACTGAAAACTCTGAAGTGTCATCCCCTCAATGGAGAAACAAGCATCTCTCCAGGTAAGGCATGGTGGTGGAGAGGTGGAGGGTGGGGGGAGTGTCAACTCAGGCACCACTGAGGCATGCATTAATCATGAAAGTGACTAAATGATGCTTGACTGGCTGCCAGCCCATCAGCCAGGATGCTTCTCGTAAGGTGTGTAGCCATCAGGCGTCAGCTGTCAGTTCCCTATTTGCTGATTTTACTAACAGGGTTCAGGCCAAAAGGGGTTCATCAAGAGTAGCCCTAGCTATTTTTATGAAAGTACTCACTTCATAAACCTGAGACTATGTATCTTCACTTTGAAGAAAAAGGACTTACAGCAGTGTGGTTCTGGGCAACAAGCCCAGGAACCTCCACTCTGTTTTCTTATTAACACATCTGTAGCCTAGGGGGACCATGAGGAAATGGCACAGGCGCATTAAGTACTTAACACTGTGTCCAGGAAACATCAGGACCTGGTGATTGCTACATAGCTATTACTTAATAGTCCAGACAAGGGCAAGGAGGCTGAGATGGGCATGAGGAGCCTGAGCATCCCGTGTGCAGGGTAGATCTTAGCTGAAATTGAGATAGCCAAGCAGCATGGCTCTATCAGTGGGACCTACCAAGTAGCCCAACCAACAACTCAAATGTCTTCTAGCTGCAGCGCATCCTGGGAAAGAAGGGAAGGTGGAACAGAGGAGGAAGGCCAAGCCCACGGCAGAAGATATATCACACTCTCTGTTCTACACAGACTCAGGGAATAGTGTGGGTAAGCTAAAGCCAATGTATGCATCTGAATGGCTCCTGGCGCTGGGCAACCTGGTGAGGATGGTAGCCCCATCCAGCTCCCCCAGGACTCAGCTCTGAAACACACCTGTCCTTAAACTACTCACTGTACTGGTGCCTTCTGAGAGAGGCATTTCTCTGAGTCCTGAGGACAGTTAGGAGAGGAATAGATTTCCTAAGCCTGTCATTGGGTCAGTAGGAAATGGTACCTATATTAGTTACTTTTCTTCTTCATGTAACAAAATACAGACAAAAAAAGGAAGGCTGTATTTGGGCTCAGAATTCGATGAGCTATAACCCATCTTGGTATGAAAGTTGTTGAGGGAGAAGGTCTCAGCTGTGGCATTAGGGACACAAGGTCATACTGTGTCCACAGTCAGGAAGCAGGGAAAACTGATTGCTGGGGTTTCTCCCCACACCCTTTTTTTTTCTATTCTGTCCAGAACCCCAGCTCTTGCAATGGTGCCACCCATATTCAGAACAGGTCTGCCCTCCTCAACCAATTCTCTCTGGAAATCCCCTCAAAGATATATGAAGAGAGCCTTCTAGGTGGCTCTAAATCCAGTCAATTTTACAATAACAATTAACCATCACAGTGCCCATCCTAGCTGGATTCCTTGCTGAATGGAGAAGGAGAACCCTGAGCAGTACACACTCATCATTATAATTTCCTTTCTACATCTTCAGCAAATTATACCTAAATAATTTGCAACAAATTTAACTTGCAGGGCAATTGATATGAGAAAGAGAGGATGAAGAAATATATCCATGGCAATACTACTGTGTTTCTCCTAGGTTCTGTGTACAAGAGGTACCCTCAAGGGAAGCTTGCTAGAAGGTTTAACTGTTCTGTTGAACTGCCCAGGAAGGACACTGTTTGCTCAAGTCAAAAGGTATTAAGTTGTGCATATCAGCACATGCCCCTTAGTATTCCTTCTACCAACCATGGCTTCTAGGAGGGTAGGCACACATGGGAAAGAGGGAAAATCTGTTAAGCATGGCTGCTTACTGTGACACATGCAGTAATAACAATAAGCCTAGAGAGTCTGCTACCTCCTAGCTAGGTAGCCTTGGGAAGTCACATAACTATACTCAGTCTCACTGTGTAAAATGAAAACAAGTGGGCCTAGTGGTGTACACCTTTAACCCCAACATTTAGGAGGCAAAGGCAGGTGGATCTCTGAGTTCAAGGACAGCCTGGTCTTCATAGTAAGTTCCATGACAGCCAATGCTAATAAAGAGACCCCTGTCTCAAGAAAAAAAAAAAAAAAAAAGAAAGAAAGAAAAGAAAGAAAAGAAAAACCCAAAATAAATAAATAAAATGATGAAGACATAGTTCCCATCTCTTAAGGTTGATATGAGGCATGGCCAAGTATATTTTGTCATAGTCCTTATTGATGTCAGATCCTTTGGAGTGTAATCAATGGAAATCCCCCTGGTTCATGTGGTCTTTCTCCACATAACCATTCAATAACAATTCTGGCCTTGGTTCTGGTTGGGCTGACCTTGGATGTCCGCTCAGATGAATTGGAGCCTACGTCCTAACATCTCTCTATTGGATAAAGAGACAGGTTAATCCTGTTTGGTTTTAGAGTCTTAACTTTAGACCATTTAAACCAGACCATTATAGTAGAAGGTTATACTGGGTGTTAAAGAATCGACAGCATCTACCAGGCAAGGCCAACTGAATGCTCAATGCATTTGGTTCCCTGTTGGCCATTCTTGTGTATCTCTCTCCCAGAACTGGGGAGAGAATTGGCAAATAATAAATGCTCAGAGTAGGCCAGGAGCATATTGTAAACAAAAGCTTTTGACCTGTGTGTGAGGCAGCTTCTTGTGTAGGCTTGACTTACTGGGTTACCCTTTTATTCTGAAGTGGATAGCTACCTGCGGGCTGAAGAAACTGAAGCTGGAGCTCTCCAAATGCCTTGGTCCCAACTGTAGACACCAAAAGTCAGCACGAGCGGCAGCGTTGGCCAAACACTGCACTCTCTTCCCCAGTGTAGAGATCAATGTGAGTCATGATGTGTCCTCATCCCCCAGTTCCTTGCCTCTTTTTTTTTTTTTTTTTCTTTTTTTAAAGCATGCTTGGGTTTAATGAAGGAGAGAGCCAGTTCCTTATCTTTTGTCAGCTGATAATAGCAGTGTGAAGGTGAGGGGACACTGACATTTATTCCTGCTTGTATAGAACTTCCCTCAGTTGGTAGAAAATACAGAATTCTGGTAGAAAAAAAAAAAAAAAAAGCCAAGCCTTCAGGGTCTGAGATCACATCCTGGAGTAGATGGTAAGACCCAGAATCAGATATGTTAAGCACACAGGCCATAACTAAGGTAACTTACAGAGGAAAGAGTCTATTTGGGACTTAGAGTTTCAGAGGGTTGGAGTCCGTGACTGTTGAGGTGGGAAGCATGGCAGCATGCAGGCAGGCGTGGCAGTAGCCGAGAGTTTACATCTGACCCACAAGCATCAGGCAGAGAGCACTAACTGGGAATGGCATGGGCTTTTGAAACCTCAAAGCCCACCCCAAGGATACAACTTCTCCAACAAGGTCACAACTCCTAGTCCTTCCCAAACTGTTCTCCCAATTGGGAGCCCAGTATTCAAACATATGACCCTCTGGGGCCATTCTCAGTCAAACCATCACAATGTCTCAACACTGGCCATGGTTCTGGTGGAATGGCAGGAGAGAGCAGATTCCTTCTCTGCTTTCTATTTGAGAGGTGTTTTTTTTTTTTTTTTTTTTTTTTTTTGTTATTCTGAGGTTGTAATAAGTGCATTCAGTACAAAATAAAAATTGGCTTCTTTCCCTCTTTGCCCTTTGATACCATGTTATAAACACCAGAGGAAACTAAAAATAGCCTTAAAATATCCATTTAAAGATTGTGGGGTCATTTTCACATCCTGACCCCTCTCTTCCTGTGGTTATCTTTCCATTTGAAATGGATGGACCTTCTAGCTCTGAGTTGAGGATTTTCTATTTTAAAACTTGGAGATGATGTGGTTTTTACTATCTGTTGATTCCGTTTGTCATGGCATCCTTATTCCATTCCACACTTCTTCACAGAATCATGGAATCTAGTAGTAAATTAAAAGAAAACTATCTTTTAATAAATAAAACATGATGCTCTATGCCTGCAAACCAGCACCCAGGAGGCAGAAAAAGAAGAAAAGTCAAGGCCAGTGCAGGCCATGAAGTGAGATCCTGCTTCAAAATTAAGCATACAGACAAACAGATGTGCATTTAAAAACATGAGAAGAGTTGTTTGTTGCAATGATTATAAACTATTTTATGGTGCTGAGACTATGAGCCAGCACTAATGGGGTGCATTAGCCTCTGCTTGCCTTCACCAGGGAATGGTGAGACACATCCAGTGGACATTGTGGGAAATGGAGAGATACATCAGGTGCATGGAGAAGGTGACGAGGTGCTATGTGCAGAGGCTGCAATGGTTGCTGACTGGTAAGTCTTGACTACAGTCAGAAAGGTGGAAGAAGACTAAGAGGAGGTGGAAAGGCTAATCCCAGAAATTCAGGGTCAGTCCTTCAAGGCCAGCTCCTCAAGACCTGTCAGGCCAGTGAGTTTACCCAAGCCAATTTTCCTTGTACTGAATAAGCAAGCTCTGGGTCCAGAGGTAGGGCAAGGGGCTTGGTGACAGAAGTGTGGCACAGGAACCAGAGGAAGCTTCTGCCTGTCCTGGCTACCTACAAAGCAGACTACTTCCTTTGCTGCTCTATACATGACCGAGGACATCCCAATTCTGACCATGGCTGTTGGGTGGTAGGAAATGGGCGCTATAAGAGAAGCAAGGCCTGTGTATTTATTAATGGGGCCTACTTGAATGCATTTGTAAAAATAGAAATGGGAGGGGTTCCAACCCAGAAGATACCTTCTCTACTTTTCCCTGGGATACCAAGGTGCCTCCAAGAAAGGTGCATGAATGGGGCAGGATGTGGAGGACCAGGTTCATATTCCAGAGAAGGGCTGATTATAATTACAGGTGTGGTGTCCCTTACCTGTAGCCCCAGCATTTGTGAGGTAGAGGCCAGAAGACCAAAAGTCCAGGGCAAAATTTGGTTGAGCATCAAGGCCAAGAGGCCAGATGTTTTGAAGTAGAAACAATTTAGCTTTGGGGTCTGAAGAGTTTTGCACAACAGGAGGAGAAAGCCTTATGGACCCTCCAGGCAGCCTGTGTCACCATGCAGGGTCCTATGTGAGTTCATTAGGTTGAGTCTTCTGCAGGAAAGCCTGCTATAAATAGTCTGTGTTACTGCAAGTGCCCATGACTGCTGCTTTCCAAAGCCTGTTTCCCACAGAGGTGATTGACAGGCCATGGGATAGGGCTGGGCAAAGGAGAAGTAGAGTTCCCTGTTCTCAACTCACACCAGCCACTTGAAAGAGCTGATGACTTAATGCGCCACCATTAGTAGCAAGGATCTCACACCTCACATACAGGTCCATACCCAAACACCTGTACTTCAAACTCACCTGAGAGCCAGGAATATAGCTTAGTGACAGAGAGCTTGCCTAGCATGTACAAAGCTGCATATCATCCCCAGGACACTCACTCACACACACACACACACACACACACACACACACACACACACCTGGGTGTTACTTCATTCATTTATTTGCTCACACATTCATTCAATGAAGAAGTGTTGAACTTCTGCCAGGTGTATGGGAGAGGGTAGAAGGCAAATCCCAACAGGGTCCCTGAGTTCATGGGTCATGTGGTCTAGGAGAGAGATGTCTTAACGAAGAGTCCCAAGTGTGGTATGGGAACACTGACAAGTGCAGGGAGAGTCAGGGCAGGGTACGGTGCTGTGAGGGGCAGTTGGCTTGGGTGGAAAAGTATCATCTCAAGAGAAAGTGTCCCTGAAGTGATATTTAAAGACTGTACAGATGTTAAGTGGACAAAGAAGAAAGACAGCCTGGTGCAGCTTTGAGTGGAAGGGACTCTGGGCAACAAGGTCCAACAAATTTGGTTCACTTGTCTTGGAGAGTGGCTAGTTGATATTCCAGCCATTTGTCAGTTTTCTTCTGCTGTCCCAGTGAGCACCAGTGTTCATGACACTGGTCACATCAAATATTTGCTGAGCTTCCCCACTGTCATATCTGTTTAGCCTTGTACAATCAAAAGACCAAAGTTAGAGAACGACGGCCTGAAGTATGGGTTAGGGGACCAAGACACAACCTGGGCTTTAAGCTGTAGATCCTGGACATTCTCTAGCCCTCTGGAGGACTCCTTGAGTTCCCCAGTCCTTGAACAACTTTTTCTTTATGTCTCACCCATTCCCCATGGGTATGGCCATCCAGTCTCTCACCCTGGCTTTCTCTCCAATCCCTGGAGCTAAAACCTTGATCTCCCAAACCTCACACATCTACCTCTGCCCTTGGACAACTGATTCCCCCAATACTGCCACAGGGTCATCTCCCAGTGGAGAACTTGTGACCAATTATCGGGGAGGCAGTAGGTGCCGCAAGACTTTGTATTTTGTAGATACCATGAGGAAAACTAACAGCTCACCCCTTCCCTGACTCTATCACCCATCTTGGAACAGGGAGCCGCAGACTGTTTGGCACCATCCTGGAAAGCAATGTATGTATCATGCTGGACACATCAGGATCCATGGGCCCCCATTTGCAGTGGATGAAGACAGGGATGGTTCTGCTGATTTGGGAGCAGCTGAGGAAGCACTGTGACAGGTAGCTGACAGGGCTGGAGCTGGCAAGGTCAGGAAGATCAAAGGGCAGGTCCCTGGTTTCCCAGGCTGGGCACACTTGCTCCACACAGTTCTCAGTAGAGGTTTCAGAAACAAGAAATGCTCTTGTGAATCGTTTGAGAAGGAAAGAATGCTGTGTTTTACCACTGTAGTATTTTAATCTACTTACATTTGCACCTGGCATTTTCAGGGGGTCCCCTTTCCCTTCTCAGTGTCTGGGCTTACTGTAAGAGACCTCAAGTGAACAATCCTCACCGAGGTGACATCCACATCAACACAAACTGGCCTGTTCTAACAACCATTTTTCCTCTCCCTGTCCCCTTCTCTTTCTTCCTCCCCAGTTTTAACCTGCTCAGCTTTGCGAAGGACCTGAAGCCATGGCAGAATACTCTGGTGGAGACCACAGATGCAACATGTCATGAGGCTATGCAATGGGTGACCCACTTGCAAGCCCAGGGGAACACCTCATTCTTGTCAGCTTTACTGGCAAGTATTGCCGCTGAACCCCACCCTGTAGCACAACAGAAATAGTGCCACCCCATACCAGTAACCTTTGGGACTTGCAGCGTGTCACTTCATTTCATCCTCCTAATAGCCAAGTGATACAGGGCTCTCACTTTCAGAGGAAGACAGAGGCTTAGGGAGGTTGGGTTGTCTGGAACTAACAAGATAGGAAGTGATCCATGCTCCTGCTCCTGACCCTCAGCAGCTCCCTTGTTCTATATTAGACTGGAAGTAGAATTTCAATCTTATTTTTCAAGACAGGGTTTCTCTGTGGGATGGTCCTGGCTGTCCAGGAACTCACTCTGCAGGTGAGGCTGGCTTCAAACTCAAGAGATCCACCTACCTCTGCCTCCTGAGTGCTAGGATTAAAGGCATGCATCACCACCACCTGACCAAAATCTTTTTTAAAATTGATTTTCATTGTGTGTTATATGATTTGTGTGGAGCATGCATGGCATGGCATATGTGTGGAAGACAAATTCGTGGAGTTAGTTCTCTCCTTACAACTTTACATGGGTTCAGGAATCAAGTTCAGATTGCCAGGCTTGCACAGAAAGCAATTTACATGTTGAGCTATCTTGGTGGCCCAGAATCTCTATCTTAATGGTCAGTTGTAGAATCCTATCAGACATGTTTTCCTTGGGGACTGACTCTCCTCCTGTCCACGTCTGAGCAACCCCCTATGCTCTCTTAGAAAGCCTTCAGCTTTCAGGATATGCAAGGACTGTATCTGCTGACTGATGGGAAGCCAGACACAAGCTGCAATCTTATTCTCAGTGCTGTCCAAAGGCTCCAGAAGGAAAGAGACGTGAAGGTGCATACCATCTCCCTGACCAGCACAGACAGGTGAGCAACACAGTAGCAAGCTAAACTTGCTTCTCCCAAGCTACAGGTCTGAAGGCCTGAGAGCCTCCACTAACCCAGGGCCTCCCTAGACATAGCAGTTAGGAAATGCACTGCTTTAATTAGTGGCCTGGATACCACAAAGCAGAAGCCCTCTCCCTACCCAGACAGACCAAGCAACCAGCTGCTCCTATGTTACTCTACACCCTTGAACTTATACACCCCAGTTCATGAATCCTGTTATGCTCTCTCTACTGGCCTTGGGGAAACTAGAAAACATCATCATAGTACTATTCTTAATATCTTTATTCTTTGAAAACTTCACCCATGTATATGTGAATGATTATACTTACCCCCAACTCCAACCACCAACTTCCCTTAGACCACCGCCACAATAGCTCCCTCTCAATTTCTTGGCTTTTCTTCCTTTTTAAAAATTATTTATTTTATATGTTTGGATATTTTGTCTACACGTAGGTATGTCTGCCACATGAGTGTCTGGTACCTTTCAAGTTAGAAGAGGGGTTCATGCTCCCTGGAACTGGAGTTATAGATGGCTGTGAGCTACCATGTAGATCTTAGGACTCAAGCCCAGGCCAGGGCAACAAGAGTTCTTAACCACTGAGCCATCCCTCCAGCCCCCTCTTTCTTTTGTATTAGTATAACACAATGAGTCGAGTTTGTGCTGCCTATATGTACATGGATATGGGGCCATCTGCTTGGGCCTGGGCAACATACCAGAGTCCTCACACCCAAAGCAAAGCAACGCTCCCTCCTGTCTAGCCATCACCTCTCACTGGTGCCTCAGCCAGGAGTAGGCCTTCTGGAACTCCTCCCCACTCCAGGCTGGCATTTTAACTGGCTTGATCTTGATAGAACAATTATTATTACAGATCACCATTTAGAAGAATGTGTTAGACAAGACGCAGCCCCTTCAAACCCCTTTATCATGGGGATTAAAGGCATGTCACAATGGCAGAGGAGATACTTAGATGCATGGGGGTCTGAGAGCAATCCCCAACAGAAAATTACCTATATTATTAATAAAATTGATTACTTGGGGACATACATGTTTTCTCTCTCTGAACTGTGAACTCTGTAAGGGCCATGTGTGTGTCCCTATAGGCCTGTCACGCAGTCGATACCAGTGGAAGATATGAATACCCCAGCTGAGAACGCACTTGGTGGTATAAGCTGAGGCCCATTTGCCAGACTGCTTTCCCTTAAGCCCCACAAGTCCTAAGCTCCTCTGTGGGCCTGGGGCTCTGCTGACCTCCCCTAGCCTCTGTGAGTCCCTGAGCCTCCATTCCTCCTCCAGAGCAGCAGTTGAGTTCCTGAGGAAGCTGGCTTCCCTCAGCGGAGGACGTTACCACTGTCCTGTCAATGACGATACACTCAGCGGGATTCATGGCTTGCTCACTAGAGGCTTCATCCAGGACAGGGTGGGTCACCAGTCACAAATGTGAGTCTCCTGAAGAGGCTTCAAGAAGCCTCCACAAATACTGGCTTCCTTCTACCTGAGGTCTCTGCTTCTCTGGTAACACACTGCTGGTCAGGAAGGGCGAATCTCCCATGGCTGTCCCTCTAAGTCAGCTCCCCTGGAAGGTGGAAACAGATTGGGAATGCTATGGTTAGGTCAGACCAGCCTCAACTACCTGTTCAAAGAAATGGCTTTACTTGGATGACCACTTCGAATCAGCCACTGTTACATCCTCATCCCTGTGTACACAAGCAGCTCAAGAAGTTGAAGTATGTGACCCAGATTCGGAAGAAGGGTGAAGCCATGCCCTGAGACAAGGTTCAGAACCACTGTGATTTCAGTCCTGTAGACTTCCATGTTCATTCTCTGAAATACGGACATTCATTTCATCCAAGCAACATATAATGACATCATCAGTTAGTTACTACACAATGAACACTGAGGAGCCAAAGGTTCCTTCCATTTATCAGGAAAATGGTGCACACATTTAACATTTCTTTGTTTTTGTATAGTTTTCTGAGCTAGCCTTGAACTTTCAAGCTTCCTGCCTCTACTTCCCCAGTACATACAGAGATTATTGGTGTGAGCTACCAGGCCCGGCTATAATTTTTGTCTCTGTTGATCAGAAGTTCTGGAAGTTGAGCCCAAGACCTAACTAAAACTAAGCATTCTTCCATTGACTTATGTCTCCAGATCCCCAGACCTTTGTTGTTTGAAAGGGTCTCGTATAGCCTAGGCTGGCTTCAAATCCACTTTGTAATTGAGACCAGCCTTGAAGCCCTGATCCTCCTGCTTCCCTCTCTCTAGTTGCTAGAGTTATACATGTGCAACCACCACACAGAACCGAGTAGGAACGGCTGCCTGCACACTGCTGCCCGGCTGGTGGCAGCTTCCTGTCTGTCTCAGAGCCCTGGCTCACTGGGAGTCTTTGTTTAGAGCAAGGCTCTGGAGTTTCAGTAGTTACTGTCTTGGAAAACATTCCTGTGAAGCTCTATTTTAATAGAAGTGGAAAAGGGGCTGAAGATATTTTACTGACTTACCAGCAGTTTAGATAAGGCACATCCCACTTCTGCCTCATGGACCTGGAGAAAAGACAAATTCACTGAAGTCTGGACACTATCTAGGTTGCTCCCCTCCTCCACCCCAACCCCACATGCTGATGACTCTCGGGCATTTAATTTCAAACTATCCCATGTATATAGTGTGGCCACCTGGAGAGGTGGAGATGTACAAACTTCAGCCACAAGGATTCCCCTGCCTCTGGTGAGAGGCTCCATCTAATGTGCTCTAAGCATCTTCTGGAATTTTAGATTTTTGTCTCATCTAGTCAATTTAGTATATTGAATTTTATATTCATTCCCCCTTCCCCAGGATCCCAAGTTGCCACCGTTTGAGGGGGATGACTTAAAGATATTGGCCCAGGAGCTCACCAAGGCTAGAAGCCTCCTCAAGCAAGCCCAGCTCTTCAGGTATGCTTGTCTACCTGTCCCTTCCACCTTTAATCCCAGCACTCGGGAGACAAAGGCCAGCCTGACCTGCATAGCTTCTGGGTTACATACTGAGACTTCATCTCAAAGGAAAATCCACATACTGGAGAAAACATATGGTATCTGCCTTTCCCCACCCCACCATCTTATTGCCCACGCCCAGGCAACCATTTTTCTTTGCCTTCTGCCTTCTAGATCCCAGCTCATGAAGAAAAATAACATGGAACCAAATGTCACTCCTTGCTAGAGGCATGTTCTCAGGTAAGAAAAGGAGAGGGTGACATACCTGCAGAGTGCCCACCAAGGCCTAGGCGCGTGCTGCTTTACACACAAGTGTAACTGTGAGGAAAGACCAGGAATTGTCATTCCTCTGACTTGAAAGGCTATTCCACAGAGAACCCCCCACCCCTGCGTCACTGAGCACCCTGACCTAAAGAGCAAACTCACAGAGAAAGCTGTGACCCCCAGTTTACTTGCAGGAAATAAAATGTTTAGCACTAGGACACTCAGAAGGCTGAAAGCAGGAAGGCTCTTTTACCTGTGTAGGGGGCCTCCCTGGCCTCCCTCACTCCCCTACAGTGTCCCTCCTCAACACTCTGTAACTCTAGACCAAGCTCACTAAGAAGTTTCTCTTGCCACCCTCCACCTAGTGACTCCTGCTTACCTGTCAAGGCACAGCTCAGATGGCATTGGCTTCACTCTGAAAATGTTCCTGGTACCCACCCAGAGCTAAGGACCTCCAGTCACATCTGGATGCTTCTGCCTTCCTCGTCTGGCTTTCCTGACTAACCATGCCTCTGGCAGCATTCAGCACTGCAGGCTGTGATGCCCTGCTCAATGTCCTAACTCTTTTTGACCACGGTTCCCCTCTGCCAAGAAGCTGCTGTCTTAACTATCCATGGATCCCCAGATCCTGCCATATGGCAGTTGTGTGGTAAGCAGTGATTACCCCAGCTCTGGATAGCAGCCTGATGAGCCTGCTTCTCCTGGTTCCTACCTATACTTCTTACCATCTGGATCCACGGGCCTAGCAGCCTAGCTTGGAGGAAGACACAACCAAGAGCCAAGCCCCATTACCACCAACATCACTGCTAACCGGAGGCTACTATGGACCCAGTCCAGAGTAAATGCTCTGCTCTGGCCTCTGAAAGACAGATACAGCCTTTGAATCCAGCTATACTATGTACATCTGTGTTAGATGATCTGGGATCATTTCCTAAAATGAGAAAATTGGTTTTTACTAATAGAGTCAAAATGACTTCAAATGCTTGAGTACTGGTAATGTGTGTATGTGTGTGTAAATTTTGAGTGAGATAAAACTTTATTAAATTCTGGACAGTGGGGCACATGCTTTTAATCCCAACACTCAGGAGGCAGAGGCAGGTGGATCTCCAAGCTTGGTCTACAGAGTAAGTTCCTGGAGAGCTAGAGCTGCACAAAGAAATCATGTCTAGAAAAACAAAAAACAAGACATCATTCAGGTTATATAGAGGATTTAAGCTCGATATAAAAAAGATAAGCATTTATTTTTTAAAATGAACAGCAACTCAGACAAATACAAATGGGAATTGCATATGCAACTTGTCCAGCATGCCCAAGGTTCTGGGTTCAATACTCAGTAACACAAAACACACACACACACACACACACACACACACACACACACACACACACACACACAGTTAAACCCAGCATGGTAGCATACATACACAGGTCATCTCAGCACCTGAGAATTGGAGACAGGACAATCAGGAGTTCTGGGCCAAGCTTAACCAGAGACTTTATCTCAAAATACCAACCCCCTGTCATTCCTCCTAAAAGAACAATGGAAAAGAGCTCAACAACCTCACCTTTCTTGGAAATACAAATTGAAGTCACAGTGAAATGCAGCTGTATGCTCAGTAGAATGGCTTGACTCAAGATGACTATCAATAGCAAGATACTGGAGTGACTAGAATGCTCATGTTGTGCCGGGTGTTGGTGGCACCCACCTTTAATCCCAGCACTCAGGAGGGAGAGGTAGGCGGATTTCTGTGAGTTCAAGACCAGCCTGGTCTACAGAGATAGTTCCAGGACAGGCTCCAAAGCCACAGAGAAACTCTGTGTCGAAACAACCCCCCCCCCAAAAAATGCTCATGTTTCTGGTATGGGGCTCAGGGAAAGAAAATGTAAATTTTCACCACTTTGAAAATTTGGCTATTTCTATTAAAGCCCAACAACCCCTCTCTAGGGGAAATGAGTGTGTGGATACCAGAATGTGTACAATAGCTTTATTTGTAAAAGCCCAACATTGGAAACCACCCAGTGTCCAACCATGGTATAATGTACAAACAAATCATAACATATTTGTATATCATCAAACTATGAATCAATGGAAAAAGCATGAAATAGTTACTACATTCTATAAGGCATATCAAACTCATAAACAATGGGTAAGCAAAACACCTAACATAAGAAGATGTGGCTCAGTTGGTAGAAAGCTTGCCTAGTATGCACAAAGTCTTGGGTTCTTGATAACCTGACTTGCATTAAAAGGAGGTATGACCAGGAATTCCAGGTCACCCTTGTCTACAGCAAGGCAAGTCAGGGCTACAAAGAATCTGCCTCAAAAAAAAAAAAAAAAGAAAAAAAGAAAAGAAAAGAAATAAAATATAAATGTGCTCACAACTCTATATAAGATTCAAGAGCAGGTAATACTTTTCATTGAGATAGAAATCACAGTAATAGCTATCATGGGGAGTACAGGGTGCTATTTCATTAGGATGCTGCTGTGATTCAGATAGGATTTGAACATGCCCTTCAAGCATTTGCACATTTAATTACTCTATGGTGTTCAGAGATGGGGCCTTGGGGAGGTGACTAGAGTTAGACAAGGTGCTGAGGCTTACTCCCCAAGACTGAATCCTGGTGGCTTTGTAGGAAAAGAGAGGCAAAAGCGGCACACATACACATGCCCTGTCTCTTCCTCATGATGCTGTGTGCCACTCAGAGCTCTGCTAGCAAGAAGGCCATTAGCAGATGCAGCATTTTAACTATGCACCCTAAAAACTTCGAGCTGGGGCTGGAGATAAAGCTCTGTGGTTAGGAGCACATTTGCTGCTCTTTCAGAGAAACTGGGTTCTGTTCCCAACAACCACATGGCAGCTCACAACCATGCAGCTCTATGTTCTAGGATTTGCACATACTTTGTCACGTCAACCATAAACTCACAATGTCCTGAGAGTAAACACCATGCCATTTCCAGACTCTGGATGAGGAACCTAAGCCTTGTAGCTGCCCAAAAACATACAGCAAGAAAGGAACCCAAAGGTGAGTAAGGTGCCTGCCACCAACTCTAATGACCTAAGGTCAATCCCAGGAACTCACATGATGGAAGGAGAGAGCCACCTTGTGCAAGTTGTCCTCTGACTTCCACATGTGCACTATGGTGCATTCGTGCATTCACACACACATAAAGGTAACAAAGAAAGAGGCAACCGGGCAGTGCTGGCTCTTTGAGCTTGAGGCTGGCCTGGTCTACGAAGAGAAGCCCTGTCTCAAAGGAAGAGGCAGAGCTGAGTTCTAAGGCCCCCAAGGCGGCCTTCCTGAACCTGTTACTCCACCTCTAAAATGAGGCTGAAGCAGAATCATGGAGATTGAAAGGGACAATCTTCCACCTGACACCTGGCAGGAGCAGGCTGAAGTCTGGGGTTTGCCTCCTTCACCTAATGTTCACAGAGTTTATTCATACAGGTTTTTTGTGGCCTGTCTCAGAGTAAAGTGAGCAACATGCTCCCTCCTCTGAGCCAGGTTGTTTCATTGTAGCAGATGTGAAGAAGACTGGACACATGCTGGGCCTTCTGCCACTGTCCCTGGCTTTTCCAGGGATGGGAAAGCCATTCTTGCTCCCAACACAGAGGGAAGGCCAACAGAAAGAAGCATCCATGGCAATGGAATGAGGGAACCAAGCCTGGGAGGCACAGGCTTATTTCCTGCTCTCTGGGAGGCTGAGACAGGAGGATCACTTCAGTGTCTGCTTGGGCTACAGAGGAAGTGTTTAAAAAGGGGGGAAGTTGGGGCGAGGATGTGGCTCCATGGTAGAGCCCTTGTCTAGCATTTATGAGGCACCCCAGGTTCAACATCCAGCAGCACAGGGAAGGAAGGAGGAGGGGGGATAAAAAAAATGTAAGAATATTCTTAGCTAGGTAGATAAGTAAGGTGGATAGATGGATGGAAGAAAACAGGTATATAAATGGATGGATGAAAATTGGCTTGGATAGATGGGCAGATGGAAGGTTGGATGGACAAGTGAAAGAGTGGATTGAAAAAAAAGATGGACTGATGAAAGTTTGAAAGAACAGATGCAGAGAAATGAAACTGACAAAATTGGATGAACAATTTGATACACACACACACACACACACACACACACAGAATGGCTAATGAGCTAGAAGGGAACAGGTGGGATGAACAAGTGGAATCAAGAATGGTGTGCAAGAAAGGTGGCTGTTGAGTAGAACAGACAGGACAGGACAGGCTCGCTGCTCCTTTGCCTCTTTTCTCCATCAGAAATGCAGCCTTTGCTGCTTGCTCACCCTCGGGTGAGTGTGACTGCAGAGCTCTAGGCTGGAGAGCACAGAGAGACAGGGCGGGACAGCTGGGGCGGAGGCACCAGGAGGGCGTGGCGGTTCCCCAGCCAGCCCAACTCCCGCTGCAGTCACAGGGGTGGTGCTGGCTTTGGCGCTGAGACCCAAGAGGCTCAAGAAGCTTGCAGCGCTGCGGGAGCCCGAGCCAGGTGAGTGCAGACTGGAGTGTGGTGGCCCGGGAAGGAGAACCGAGAGGACCTGGGATGGGGATCCGCCCCCATCCATCAGCTGTGTGGGAAGTGCTCAGTCTGCCACCAGGAGGCCCTGATCCCTGCCCCTCCGAACCCTTTCATCAAACCCAGCGTCACATTGTCTCCACGGACCTGGATTCAGGACTAAGACCTTTAACTATTTTCATTTTTGTTAGCTTCTGATATTACTATTATAGTGATGACAACTACTACTATGGTGTGTGTGTGTGTGTGTGTGTGTGATGAGGGGGCACGCTTGTCAGGGTATGTGTGGAGGTCAAAGGACAACTTTCTGAAGTCAATTCTTTCTAGTCTCCAACTCACATAGCCAGATAGCCAGACTGGCAGATGTGAGCTGTCCGGTTAGCCATGTTACTTTTGATTTTGGTTTTGGGTTTTTTTTTTTTTTAGACTTTTCCAAGCTAGCCTGAAATTTACTATGTAACTCAAGCTGGCCTCAAACTCACAGCAATGTGTAGGTCTTTGAAGTCCTGATATTACAGGTGCCCATCACTACAGCCAACTTTTTGTTGTAATTCACCCACAATTCTCTGATGTTTTCTGGGCTCCAGTTTCCACTTCTGGGTAATAGGAACAGTAGCTTATATTTTCTGAAATTGCCAGGAGAATTTAGCCCTGCCACAACCAGGTTCAGTCCTGGCTTAGCCATAATGCTCCCCTGAAGAACAAGCCCCTGTCTATTCTCCTAGCAGTTAGCCAGGCACTGTTCTGGGCACAGGAGCATCAAACCTTCATGCAGCCTGCATTGAGGTGATTTGCACAGACTTTGGTATCTGTTCTCTTGGGACAACTGTGTAAGGAATTTACAGCAGCCAATCATTTGGACCCATTTCACAGCTGTGGATACTGAGGCACAGTAAGCATTTTGCCCAAGAGCACACCCAGCCTTTGCCACTATAAATACCCATATACCCTTCCCCAGAAGAGTCATCTGGGCCTTGGGAGAGGTGTCTTCCCTCTGAAGCTACATCCTGTCCCCTAGTTGAAGGGTGGAGGTGCTCCTCCCCAACACATGACTGCATTCCTATCCCAAACCGAACAGGATAATGACAGAGGAGACACAAGCTTAGTTCTTATAACTGTAACAGCTCATTGGCCAATCAGTCACTCAACACACCCATAGCCTGGTACACAGAAGGCCTGCAGTGCAGTCACTTTCTATACTGTTAATGACCTGGCTCTTGGTCGAGCCTGATGCTCAGGTAAATCGGGGTAGGAAAAACCATGGCAGTTGACTGAGCCTGGGTCAGCTATGGGTCTAGAATGAGGAGGACAGGATTCTCAATGCAGGTCCCTGGGGCCCACCCACCTGACCCAGAAAGCTGCAGGGGACTCAGGCAGACTGTGAGGTATCAGCCATCCTCGGCCAACTGGTATCAGGAGTCGCTGCAGACTTAGGGATCACAAGTATCCAGGTGTTGAGCCCCTCAAGTCCCATGTGGTTCCTCCTCTCCTCCTCTTCCTCTCCCCCCTTCTTGAGCTCTCCTTCCTCAACCTCCTGCTCCTCCTCTTCTCCCTTCTTCCCTTCTCCTCCACCCTTTTTCTCTCCTCCCCTCCCTCCTTTACTCCCTCCTTTCCTTCATTGCCTTCCTCCTCCCTCTCCTCCTCCTCTTCTCTTCTCTCCCTTCTATTCCTTTCCCTCCTCTGCCTCCAACTTTTCCCCCCTCCTCTTCCTTGCCCCCCCCATTCCTAGTCAGATAACACCACACCCAGTATGTAAGACTCCCCAGGCATGACCGGCTCTGCCTTCCTCTGGTGCTACATGGGGCCTGTGGGGAAATTAGGGGTGCTTAGTGTATGCAACATGATTTTGAGCCTCAGTCTCCCCAGCTTTGAAGTCAAAGGTCAGGCTGCTTTCTCTGACTCCCTAAGGAGCCAGCAGCCACATGGAGGTTCTTGGGGCTCTAAAACTCTGGAGCCCTGAGAGATCTGTGAGGCTCAAGTTTTCCTGAAGTTCCCCTTAGTTCAAAGGACCTGATAAGGTGTGCCTTGGGGTGACCCTAGAACACTCATATGTTTTCCTCCACAGGTGGACAGCCTCTGGGCTGCATGGCTTCATAGAGGATGAAGACCAACCCTGCGGGCTCCTCACTAGAAACCTGTCAAGCTACAGGCCAGGGAGAGAAGGGCTGCCCAGTCTGCCAGGCCTGTGGAGGGGTTTCAGGTCTGGGGTCTGCTTCAGGGTATGGGTCAGGTCTTGGGCCAGGGCCTGGGGCTGTTCCAGGGTCTGGGCCAGGACCTAGCACTGCTTCTGTGACTGGCCAAGTACCTGGTGCTACTGCAGGGCCTACTGCTACTCTGGGACCATTACCTGGACCAGGAGCTAGGTCTGGACCCAGACCAGGAGCTGAGTCAGTACCTGGGCCAGCACCTCAGCCGGGAGCTGGGCCAGCACCTCAGCCAGGAGCAAGTGAGTCAGTACCTAGGCCAGGACCTGCACCATTAACTGGGCTGGGGCTAGGGCCTGGGACCAGACGAGGCTCTGGGACTGGTGCTAACCCCAGTGAATCAGTGACAACCCCAGAACCAGAGCGACAGCAGAAGACTCAGGCCAAACCCACACAGGCCCCCAGACAGAAGGTTCTGGTGACCGGAGGAGGAGGCTACCTGGGCTTCAGCCTGGGCTCCAGCCTAGCCAAGAGAGGCACGTCTGTCATCTTGCTTGACCTCCGCAGACCCCAGTGGCCACTACCCTCAGGAACTGAGTTTATCCAGGTACAGAGACGGGGATCATGGAGTATGTGTGTGTTTGGAGGGGGTACTGCCAGAAGTGACTGTGCTGGTGGTGACGGTGCTGGTAGCAGAGCTCAAATGGACAAATATGATGTGAACTGCAGTGGAGTTTGACAGCTCAGGCTGTGGAGCCATATTTAGCTCCAATTCTTTACTGTTTTTAGAAAAAAAAAACCTTGGTTTTGGTTTTAGTTTTAATTTTGTTGAGACAGGATTTCTCCATGTAGTCCTGACTGTCCTAGAACTCACTCAGTAGACCAGGCTAGCCTTGAACTCAGAGATCCAACTGCCTCTGCCTTCTGAGTACGGGGATTAGAGGCATGCACCACCACCACCACCGGGCTTTATTTTTAGATTTTGTTGTCTGTGTGTGTGTGTGTGTGTGTGTGCGTGTGTGTGTGTACGCGCATGTGATGTGTGTGATGTATATGTGAGTGTATGCGTGATGTGTGTGAGTGCAGTCATACATTTGCCAGAGGATAACTTTGCAGGGTTGGTTCTCTCCCTCTCCCGTGATGAGGCAGGCCTCTCTTGTTTCGGTTTCTGTTCTGCGCACTCCCATCTGGCTAGCCCAAGAGCTTCCCCCCACTTTTCTTGTCGCCCCCCCCCACCATAGAAGTGTTTGGCTTGCAGATGCAAGCCTCTTCATCCAGCTTCCTGTGAACTCCAGGAGTTGGGGCTTCCAGCCTGTCTTAACCATCTAGCCATCCTCAGCTCCAAATCTTACCCTTCCCAGCTGTAGTCACACTTCATTGAGCCCAAGTCTTCATCCACAGAAAGAAACAGCAATCACATGTGTTTTACAAGGGGCTCATAGGGAGTCAGTAAGATTGTGCATATGAAACACCCTGGACCCAAGAGCAGAATGAATGGGGGCAGCACCTGTGATGCTCTGTGGAGCTGGTAAATCCTGGCCTTGGACTTGAACCTCTTACTTCGGTTTCAGGCTGATGTTCGAGATGAAGAAGCTCTGTACCAAGCCTTCCAGGGAGTGGACTGTGTCTTTCACGTGGCCTCCTATGGCATGTCTGGGTCTGAGAAGGTGAGACTTCCACACATAGAAGGGTGTCACTACGATTTATGTCACAAACTCTTTAGGGAGCACTGTAGCAGTGTCTACCAAAATATATTCCATTTGACTCAAATTATACTTATTTACATACTCATAGCATTCTTCTTAACCAGAAATAATGCAGTGGTCCATCAGTTATCAAAGTAAGTTAGAGCAGGTATAGCATGAAATTCTATGCAGCCATTTAAAAGGATGAGAAGAGTCAAAAGTGTTGATAACCTGGCAATCTCCAAAGTTCAAAATAGTGTTTGGTATCCCCTATTTACCTTAAAAAAGAAAAGGAAACCTAAGAGCCAGTAAGATAACTCAACCAACCACCTTTAATCCCACCACTCAGGAGGCAGAGGCAAGAATATCTCTGTGAGTTTGAGGTCAGTCCAGTCTACATAGCAAGTTCTAGGACAGCCAGGGCTATATAGAGAGACCCCTGTCTCAAAAGGAAAGTGCCTGCTGTCATGCCTAATGATCTCAGTTTGACCCCCAGGCCCACATGATGGAAGAACAGACTCCCACAAGCTGTCCTCACCCTGTGTACCATGTCCCCCACACACATGGACACAGGCATGCACATGCAAAACAAATAAATAAAAATGTGAGAAATATTTAAAAACTAGGACAAATCTTTATTAAGTGTACATGGATATATAATGATGTTAAATACAGGTTTTTCCATATAAAAGAACAAAACTATTAACAGCAGTTCCCTCTGGGGAGGGCAGAGGAAGACTTGGAAAGCAGCAATGTAAAGGCACTTTCCTCTTCATTGGATAGCTTTTTAAGTTTTATGTGTGTGGGTGTTTTGCCTACACATATATATGCACATCACATGTGTGCCTGGTGCCTAAGGAAGTCAGCAGAGGCCCTCAGTTCCCTTGGAACTAGATTTACACAGTTGTGAGCTGCCATGCAGATGCTTGGAACAGAACCCAGGACCTCTGGGAGAGCAGCTAGTACTCTTGACCACTGGGCCATCTCTGCAGCCCCTGGGCATACTTTTTACTGTTTGAATTATTTTTAACCTTATAGCTATTTCCCCATTAAGCAAACAACAAACAAACAAACCACCATGATAAGAATAAATATAGTTTTGGCTGGGGATGTGGCTCAGTGGGTAAAATGGTAAAATGTTTGCTCAGCATGCACCCTGGATTGGATCTCCAGCAACACCAATAAACCAGATATGGTGGCACACACCTATAATCCCAGTTCTTGGGAGGTGGAGGGCAGAGGATCAGAAAATTCAAGGTTATCTTTGTTGATTAGCCTGTTTGAGGCCAACCTAGGTGACATAAGATACACTGTCTCAAAGAAAAATAATGTAGTTTGAAAATCTAGCACATCACACTTCCCAGTGGTGTTAAATGAGGTCTGGACTGGACTATTTGCTGGGTGCCTGGCATGCCAGAACCTACCATTGCTTTGTATACACTCTGGTGCCCTCTCTGGTACATGGCCATATCACACACTTGTCTCAGATAAGGGAGACTTGGGGAGGCAGAAAATGATCCAATCTGTTTGAAGTCATTTATCCATGCCAAACTCTTATGTCAGCCCCTGCACCTACACCCTGCTCCAAGTATCCTTCAGTGAGAATCCTGCTGACCCAGAGTCCAGCCTGTGGCCTTAGCCACAAGACTGAAGGCAGCATGTAACTTCCTATTTCCTTCTTGCCTTTTTAGCTACAGAAACAGCAGATTGAGTCTATAAATGTCGGAGGCACCAGGCTAGTGATTAATGGTAGGCCCTCAGAGTGGAGTGTGGCCTGCAGTGTGATCCCTTCTCTTCTTTCTCCTGCCACTGGCCTGGCTGTGGGGTGGGGGCTGGGAGTGGGGGCAACAGAGGCAGGACCCCTCTGTCCTACCCAGACTGTACCAACTGAGGCCAGTGGGAGGTAGAATATCTTCCCTGTGTAGACCTGCTCAGGGCCCTGTAAGGGGCATCAGCAGCCTTAGCATGTCTAGAGACTCAGGGTTGAGGATGGCACTGAGAAAGGTCACCAAGACTCCGGATAGAAGGCCTTCTGGATGTGTCCAACTTTGACCTGCACTCTCTCCAGTTCTAGAACATCTTTTCTATCTGTCCCACCAAGTGAGCCTTTTCCTCTTACCTGCTCCCAACAGAGTGGCTAGGGGGCCAAAGGCACACCAGAAGGAGGAGTAAGAAGCCCTGGTCCCGACATCCCAAGTTGAGGTGGGAGGCTTTTCCCTCCCAGACAGCTCTGGATTCTGGGAGATCCCTGATGGTATGGGGCAGGACGTTAAGGCTGGGTGGAAATGGGTGGATTCACTCACAGAAGTCTTTTCTGAGCCCCTCCTTAGCTCTTTGCTCACAATCTGGCTATTGTGTATGTGTGTCTCCTGCAGTCTGTGTTCGTCGGCGTGTCCCAAGGCTCGTGTACACCAGCACAGTCAATGTGACATTCGGTGGGAAGCCCATAGAGCAGGGTGATGAAGACTCGGTCCCATACTTCCCCCTGGACAAGGTACCAGCTTCTGGGAGAGATGGGGCAGGGTGGTAGACTTGGAAGTGACTGCCCAAGGGGCAGGCATGGATGGAGTCAGGTCTGTCTTGTAACTCAGTGTGCATCCCAGCAGGATAGACCCCCAAACTGTCTCCTATTCAGCTTATCTTGCCTGGGAAGGCTTCAAAATCAGATATACCTGGGCTTGAGCCCCACCCAGCCTGGCCCCTTTCACCTCTGGGACAGTGCAAGTTATCATGCACTCTGAACCTCTGTGTCTTCATCTAAGCCTGATAACACCATGGAGGGGATTTGTAGAGAGCAGGAAATGAGATTATGTGCAAAGATGTCACAGGAACACTAAAGGATGACATATGACCAGATCATCCAACCTATATCTGACATCAGTGTCACAGGGCAGATATTGCAGACTGGCAGGTGCTTCCTGGAGTCTATGCAGCCATGGGGTAGACCAAGCCTTGATGGGCCAGCATTGCCATCAACATAACTGAGCTGGTCATCTAGTGACTGTATTCTCCTTGTCCCCTGGCAGCACATGGACCACTACTCTCGAACCAAAGCCATTGCTGACCAGTTGATTCTCATGGCTAATGGGACACCTCTCCTAGGTGAGTACCATGGGGCCTGCTTATAACAAGCATGCCTGCCTACCACTGCCTCTCTGAATTGTGTGTCTGAGACCCTATATCCTTCCAAGTGATATCTCTGCATGGTGTGGGCCTTTGTCCTTCAGTGTGTTCTGAGCACCTCCACATGCCTCCTCCATCAGAACACAGCCTGGACAGTCAGATCTCCTGCTTGCAGTCTAGTGAGGAAGAGACTTGGACAGCCTGACACTGGCTGTCCTTGCTGTCTTATGGGCATGAACTAAGTTTTGGCAGTCTTCTTTAGCATTAGGAATGTACAATGGAACTATAGCTCTCTGGAAGGGACCATGCAAGTGAGAGGCTTCTGCATTTAATCATCAATAACTTCCCAGAAAAACCTCTCAGCTGTCTCCCCACATCCTCTCCTCTGGCTTACAGAGCAGCAATAATAAAATAGGAACTGTCCACACTTACATGCATTCCTCATGTCAGGCCCTATTTTGCATGCTAACTTCATATGCAAAGGTTCATTCACTTTGTATCATTTCTGAGTGGGGGATGGAATTTGGGCATCCCTGACTTCCACACAGGAGCCAAACCCATTCAGACAATTTGCTTGCCATAAATTGTTACTGTCTTTCTAAAATTTAGAAGCTAAGGAACCAGCCAGCAGGGTTTCTCTTTATTGTCAAAATTATCTATCCAGGTTAGGTGTGGTGGCATACACCTTTAGTTCTAGCATTGGGGAGGCAGAGGCAGTCAGATGTAGAGAACAAGGCCTGCTTGGTCTACATAATGAGTTCCAGGCCAGCCAGCACTACACAGAGAGACCTGTCTCAAAAGAAGGAAGAAAGAAAGACAGGAAGAAAAAAGAAAGGGAGAGAGGGAGAGGTTTATCTGCATGAGTCTGGTAGCAAAGTCCTTACATACTAACTACTCAGGAGGTTGAGGCAGGAAAATTACAAGTTCAAGGCTTGCCTGAACTACAGAGTGAGTTCAAGGGCAGCCTGGGCTATTATATAGCAAGACCCTGCCTCAAAAAAACAAAAAGTTAAAAAAAAAAAAAAAGTCAGGTTATAGTTCAGAGGTAGAGAGCTTGCTTAGCATGAAGCCCTGTGTCCAACCTCTCTAGTAACATTGAAAAAGATAAACAAATATGGGAACCAATTGGATTTGGAGAACAAGAGAGGCTTGAAATTATAGCCTCCAGTTTGCACATAAGGAAACAGAGACCAGTTAGCTGGCTTCACTCAAAGTCACACAGCATTGAGCAGTAGAGTTGGACTTTGAAGCCCAGCGGAGTCTTAGCCCCAGAATCCTGGCTCTACCCACTGTGCTACTCTAAAGGGAGCAAACAAGGTCCCTGCACGTGGGCTCTTTTCCCTACAATATCCCTGCTTTCTTCCCTTAGTCTGTCAGTCCTTGACCCCTGATCCTGGTGTATACATCTACCGTGTTGCCCAGGATTTGATCTGATCAAATGAATTCCCTTCTCTGCCAGGGCACAGCCCCTTTCACCTGCCGCCAGGTCAGACACCTAATCCTCTGCTGAGAATTATTTATGTGCACATCCCCAGCTTTCAATGCTCCAAAGAGTCATGGATACCCTAGGCCTGCCCCTCCCTGACGTGGCTACCCAGTGTCCCACTGGCTACCATTGGCTGAAACCTGAACTCCCTCCACCATGCCCCCAGGGACCCAGAGTTTAAACTTAGCTGTAGGCCACAAAAAAGCTCAGCTGACACCTGCCTTCCAGGAGACTGACCATGGTCACCAGGGGTGATTACAGTGGCCTGAGATCCAGGCTAGTCCTGAGACGGCCCTCACTTGAGCTGGGTGTCAGAGTCCTAATAAGTAGGTCACAATGCCTTGTCAGGTACTGTATCCTCTTGCACCTGCTTGTGTTAGTGTCCTGGTTTAGAACATTCTCTTGCCATCTAAAAACTAGAGCCTGGAATCCTGGTGTTAGCTGGTGTTAGCAGGTAGAACTCTCTCTCTGAAGGTTCTGGAGATGGGATCCTCTGTCTCCTCCAGCTTCAGGTGGTCCCAGGTGACCCTGGCTCATGACTACAAAACTCCAGTCCTTACTTCTACCTTCATGTGGCCTCTTTATCCTCTGTTGCTCTCTCTAAGACCCTTGTAATTGGATTAGACCCACCTGAAAATCTACAATGATTTTAACTCATCAATAACCTTAATTACAAACTTGAAGCCCTTTTTCCAGTCAGGTTGGCATGTAGGCATATCTTTTGGGGACTCCTCTATCATCCATGATTCTGGGCTTCATTGTAAAGATGGAAGCCACTGGCTCTGGCTTATTCATGGGGAAAGGGAACATACAATGGAGGTGCCTGGGAAACAGATGTGAGAAAAAACAGCCACCTGGTTGAGAAATCACAGGTCATGGATAGATAGCTCAAGGGCCTTGGCTGGCAGAGTTTATGGCCAGTGCCCTCAGAGTTTGTGATCCTAATCCCAATGATCCCGAGAGTCAATTCCAGGTGAGAGCATCTAAGGACACCACCTTTAAGGACCTCTGCAGGGTGGGGTCCCAAAAAAAACTAGGCAGCTGGAGACAGAGTATTTATACTGGGCCGTCCATGCTAGATAAGGAGCAGGAGGGATAGATGGCTTGGGGCTCCTCATCCTCAAGTGCTGTGGGCTCCTGAGTTCCATGTGCCACCCTTTCTTGTGTCCTAGGAGGAGGCACCCTCCGTACCTGTGTGCTCCGTCCCCCAGGGATCTATGGCCCTGAAGAACAAAGACACCTGCCCCGGGTGGCGGTATGTTCTCCTGGCTTTCCTAGCATCAGAGGCAGGAGAAGCCGGGTTGGTGTGGTGTGCGTGTTGGTTGGACCTTTGCAGCTTTATGTCATTGCATCTGTCTAGAGGCAGTGTCCCCCACCAGAGACTCTCCATGCTGGGAGGTCACACCGATGCCCACCAGTTCATAGTCCCTTAGACATACCAAGGTCAAAGCTCTCAGTGTACTAGGCAGGCCTTTGTTCAAGGGGAGGAGGGTGGGGCTATGACCCTAGAGAGACCAGCATGTGGCCACCCCAAGGGCTGAATAGTGAAGTTATCTTCACTGTTATCTCAGGCTGCCAGTGAAGTTTCTTCATGCCAGAAAACTCTAGAAAAAAGCTACAAGGGGCTCTAAGCCCCAATCTCCTCACAACCTGGACAGGGAGACAGACCACACAGCTGTAACTTCAGCATAATGAAGGCTGGATAGAGAGATGCAAGGCAGGGGATTCCCAGGAGGACTTCCTGGAGGAAGGGATGCCTGTGGTGTTTAGAAGGATAAAAGGGGATTTTTGATGAGCTATGGTGATTAGGGAAAGCAAGTAAGGATCAACTCAAAGAAGAATGCAGTTAATGAAGTATCCATCAGTGAGAGGTCTCCACGGCTAGAACTAATGGAGAGCATAAGGCCATGGAGAGCCACTGAAGGTCACCTGGGGGGTGCTGTTCTGGCCTGCTGCTTCAAATATTCCTTTGTTGATACCTAAATGATACCAGGTAAAAGACAGTGACCTTTCCCCATTTAAATACTTAATTGAACTACTACTGTTCGCTCAGTACTACTCAAACCAGCAAACAAAGCAGATAGCCCCTACCCTTGTATGGCCTCTGTTCTCACACCAGGAAATAGATTAAAATAGATTCACACGTTGAATTGTAAAGAGTGTTGGAAGGTGCCAGGCACAAAGGGAAAAAAGAAAAGGTGAGCGGGGTAAGGGAATTGGGCTCCCGGGGAAGCTGGGGAAGTGGCTTGGAGAAAGCCAGGTTTTCAGCCTCCAAGGGAGGAGGAAGCCAAGTGTGTAAAGCAGGCTTTTGGAGGAAGAGCGTCCAGAGGGGGCAACTCTCCTAAGACTGTCCAGGAGTACACCGACAGCCCTGGGATCGTGGCAACAGAAGTGGTTGGGGGTGGGGGGTGTCAGTAGCAAGGGAAGCAGTAGAGTAGCTGGGGCAGGTCTAGAAGGGGCATTGTCAACATCTCTGTGTTCATCATCGAAGCCCATGTACGTCTATAGTCACCAGAATAGGGCCAGATAAGGGTGTGCAGGGTAGGTGGATGGTCAAGAAGCTGTTGTGGTTCCCAAGGCAAGAGAGGGAGGTGGCAGTGGGGGAGAAAAGTGGCTGAATTCTGAATAGATGTAATAGTTGGGGCGACTGGGTTTATAAGTGGTTTGAGTGTGAGGCATGAGAGAAGTTAGGACTGTCAAAGGTGGCCCAGGTCATCTGTGAGACAAGCAAGCAGAGGTGTCCTGAGGACCTGGGCCATGGCAGTTGGAATCTAGCCTGTTACTGGACCCTCAGAAGCCATGAGCGTGTAGATAGAGTGTAGACCACCCAACTGAGTCTGTGTTGCCCTCTCTCGAACCAGAGCCACATCAAGAAGAGACTATTCATGTTCCGGTTTGGGGATCGCAGGACACGCATGAACTGGGTCCATGTGCAGAATCTGGTGCAGGCACACATGCTGGCAGCTGAGGCCCTCACCATGGCTAAGGGCTATGTGGCTGTAAGTGTCCTGTGATATCGATGCCCTACCCCCCCCCCAGGCTGCAGACAAGGAGACTCAGCCTCAGGAGTCCCAGGGTAGAAGCTTCAGAGAGCATAATTAGCTCTTCCCAGGGACCCTGTGACATCACAGCTTCAAACTGAAATGTGTCACAGTCTCCACAATAATTCTCATCTTGCTGAAAAAAAAAACTGGAGTACAACAAGGTTGAATGAGTCCATCAGAGTCACACAGCTTCTCAGTGTGGTTTCCCTGTTCATAATCTGTTTCCCAAGAAGCCAAGTTCAACCACTCCTTTAGAAGCCAATTAAAGGAGTCAAATTAGGTCAGTTGTTGGTGGCACACACCTCTAATCCCAGCACTCTGGAGGCAGAGGCTGGCAGATCTCTGTGAGTTTGAAGCCAGACTGGACTACAGAGTGAGTTCCAGGAGCAGGCCATGTAGAGAAACCCTGTCTCAAAAAAAAAAAAAAACCCAAAAAACAAAACAAAACAAAAAAGTCAAATTATTAATAAAAAGTAAAAGAGGGACAAAAAGGACCCAGGCTGTTTTGGAATCCTGAAATGAGAGAGTAAAGTTTAATAGAGTCCCAGGAATATGCACTTCTTGGCAGTCCTGGACAAGGTATGGGCCTGTCCACTATTGATTCATCACTAAGTGGGCTTGACTCTCATTCTTTAAGCTGTTGCAAGGAATGAAAGGGAGATTAGCTCCCCTCTGGCTGTTTTTCCAGCATGAATTCCTGAAGAAATCCCCATTTCTTTGGGGGCCCATTGTTTCAATAGTCAGATGGTCAGATTGACAGACACCTGGCCCACAGCATCAGCATCTCTCTAGAAAATCATCATTTCCTCCAAGGCAGTTACAGCCCTTACTAAGGTGTTGGCCAGGTCTGTCCCCAGAACTGCTTAAGAGGACAAGCAAGTTACAGCAACAGCTAGGAACCATGAGAAAGTGTGGAGTCAGGCTGTGGGCAGACATCTGACTGCATCCCGTCTCTCCTGTCACCCACAGAGTGGACAGGCATACTACATCAACGATGGGGAAAGCGTCAACCTCTTTGAGTGGATGGCCCCACTGGTAGGTGTTCTGGTCCCCTAACCCAGAATGAGACTCTAAAATCCTTAAATCCTTTCCTACCATCAAACCCCAAGAATTTACATTAGGAAGCCCTAACAGTGGCATGGCTGGAGCTGAGCTGTGGCCACCCTTTATGATCCTATGTGCTCCCTGATTTTGTCGCAGCCCTCTTCTGACTTGCTTCCTGATTTACACTGATTCTGACCATGAGAGTCTTCTGTTGTTTCTGGTTTTGATGGCCCCCAGGGCCCATGCTAAAGCAAGTGGTTTGCCACTGAAAGGCAGGGTTCAGTTGTAAGCCTTAGGCACGTGTGTAATAGGTCACCAGAGTCTGGAGGGAAGAGTTCTGTCTCTGAGAAACCTGTCCTCTCTGAGCAGCCCATAGTCTCCTTAGGACCAGGCCAGTGTGGAAAGTGGGCACAGAAGCTGGGCTTGGGCTGCTGTGCCAATGGCAGCTTTGCTTTGTCCCATTTGAAGAGCACTTGCAGGGGCAATGAGCACTGGCTGCTCTTCCAGAAGACCTGGGTTAAGTCCTAGCACCCACACAGCAGCTCACAACTCTCCCAGTTCCAGGGATCTAATGCCCTCTTCTGGCTTCCACAAGCACCAGTCATACATACAAGCAAAACACCCATGCGTGTAAAGGTTTCTGTTTTTCTTTTAATTAAAGAACACTTTTATTGAAATGTAGCTTACAAGCTATGCAGTTCACCTATGGAAAGGATACTATTTAATATGGTTTTCCATTTTTAAGGAAAACAGTCATTATCATAATTAACTTTAAAGCAGGCCTTCATCTTCAGATGAGCAAAACAAGCCTGTACCTGTTAGCAACATGGCCCTGTGTACCCCTACCCCACCTCTACCCTCAGCCCACCCCACCCCAGGCAACCATGAGTCTTCCTCTCTCTACATTTGCCTCGCTTGACTATTTTATATGAATGGAGTCATAGGATAAGTGACCTTTTGTGTCTGGCTTCTTCTCCCTTAGTTTTTAAGTTTGATCTGTGTTGTGATATCAGGTTGAGATGAGACTGCATGCCTTTTTCTTTTTTCTTTAATGTGTGTGCGTATGAGCATACCTGTGTATGCCAGTGCATGTGTATGTGAGCCCACCTAGTGGAGGTCAGAGGACACTGTGGATGCTGGTCCTCAGACACTGTTTCCCTGTCTTTTGAGACAGGGTCTCTCACTATCCTGAAGTTCACCAAGTAGACTAGGCTGGCTGGCCAGTGGCCCTGCACCGCCCCCATCCCCCAACCCTGGGCTGGGATTACATTACTGCGTGTTTGCATGGAGTTTCTGGGCTAAACGGTTACTCCAGGGTTAACTTTTCATTGAACAACTGCCAGACTGCTTTCTAAGAGATTGCAGGGTTCCTGTCTGCCCAGCGGGTGGGGATGGGGAGGGGTGGGGGTGGAGTGGGGGTGGGGGTGGGGTGGGGGCATGCTCCCATTCTCTCCAGCCTGCCAGCCTTTGTTGGTTTGGCTTTGGCCAGAAGAGATTTTCTGCAGGTGGACAGACAGCACCATTCATTGCCCTGCCAGCCGGGTTCTTCCTGAGTCTCCCTCTGCCTTCCACCACTTGCTGGGGTTTAACTATTTTTCCTTAATTGTACAGTCAATTCTGGAAGGGGGACAAATACAGATTCTACGTAAGGGCTGGGAACATGTTCAGGTGTGGGTGGATACAGTAAATGATGTGAAAGATTCTAAGTTAAAAACCTGCCATAGAGGCTGGCAAGAGATGGCTTCGCAGGTAGAGTTCCATTGCCAAGCCTGACAACCTGAGTCCAATCCCCAGGACCCACATGGAGGTAGAGAACTGATTGAAGTTGTCCTCTGACCTCTGTGGCACGCTAGAGCACACACACACACACACACACACACCCGCCTGCCTCTGCCTCCCGAGTGCTGGGATTAAAGGCTTATGCCACCTATGCCCGGCTGTCCTATGTTTTCAACTAGAGTTATCCAGACCAAAAAGTAGATCTCATTTCAGACTGGTGTGCAAAATAGTGTGGGCTTGGGGGCTCTCTGGGCTGGTGGGGTCCTCTGCCAGCTAGGATATGGGAAGCAGGTGATCTTTCCTCATCAACCAGTCCCTAAACAACCTGTTCTCATGTCAGACCATGTTCTCTTGCAGTTTGAGAAGCTGGGGTACAGTCAGCCCTGGATCTGGGTACCAACTTCCTGTGTTTATCTGTCAGGTAAGGAACAGCATGAGTATTAAAGCCCCTGCATTCCAGGTACACACACAACATACATTTTTACATTATTGGAAACCCAGGGCCTGGACTATGAGGAAGCCACTGAGGCACGCAGGGAGTGAGGGTAATGGAATTTAAATAGGTTGAGCAGGTGCACCCAGCGTGACCCTGCACACAGAGGAGCAAGTGTCTCTACATTGCCACAGCAGCACCCACCTACTCTTCATAGGCCTGTGCTGCTTAAACTGGAGCCTCTTGCAAAGCTGGAGTGACTATAATAGAAGAGGCTGGAGCTCTAAATCTGCCTGAAGTGGTAGTGGGGGTGCAGCTTTGACACCTGGACCTGTGCTAGAAGGCACGATGCCTGGTGGGGCAGAGGGAGCCCTGAGGCCCCCCTCTTCCAAGTTCACCCTGATGCCAGGGCTTCTTTGGGATATGTAGAGATTTGGACCTTGGATTCTCCCCCTCTCCCTGCAGGCAGGATCTGCTCCCATTCCCTGGTCCTACCAGCAGACAATGTGTCCTACTGCTGCCCTCTGCTGGCTTCCTTCCAGTAAGGATGCAAGCAGGCATCGGGCTTGGGGTGAGCTGCCCAAGGAAACAGGTGGTCCTCAAGTCACAAAGGGCTATGTTCCTGCCACATTAGAGGCTGGACCTGCTGTTTTAAATGCATTAGGGGTGTTTGTTATTGAAATTAAAGACTTGCAAACTCACTGCCCAGGTGGGTGACATCCGCACAGCATTATCATGATTGGCATGCCTTATCTGTAGCCCAGGTGATGGCAATTTGGGAGGACTGTATACAAATATACAGTTCTGTGTAAACTTACTGCAGCCTGGGTCATCTTCACAATGGCTGTACACTACAACCCCCTGGACATTTGAAGCTAGCCAAGTCTCAGCCACACCTCAAAGAAATGATGTTAGGATAAAGGGAGTGGCAGGGAAGCAGCAGTGGTTCTTAGGGTGGGAAGCAATTCCGACTCCTCCACCCCCCAAGTCAGCATATTAAAATAGGAGAGATTCTGGGCAGTGGTGGTGCACGCTTTTAGTGCCAACACTCAGGAGGCAGAGGCAGGTAGATCTCTGTGAATTGAAGACCAGCCTGGTCTACAGAGTGAGTTCCAGAACAACAAGGCTACAACAAAGAAACCCTGTCTTGGAAAAAAGATAGGAGAGCCAGGTGTGGTGGCACACCTGTGACTTCAGCATTTGGAGGATGAGCTCAAGGCCAGCTTGAGCTACATAGAGAGTTCTAAGATAGTCTGGTCTACGTAGTAAGATCCTACATCAAAAGAGAAAGCTTGAAGGCGAGCAAGATGGTTCAGTGGGTAAAGGTACTACAGCAAGCCTGACCCCCCCCCAGGTCAATCCTTTAGACCCACATGGTAGAAGGGAAGAATCAACTCCCCCAAGTTGTCCAGCAACTTCCACACATACACCATGGCATATATGCACCTACACACATAAACAGATGCACAAAATAAGTAAATGAAACGTAATTTGAAAGTGGTTGAGAGAATAGAAACACTTTCGAGTCTTCTCAGGTTCATTTTCACTCTTTGGTCCCTCAATATTACTTAGTGCTAACTTATTGTGACATATTTCCTAGCTAACAAGCCCCCAAGCAAGTGCTGCTGACCTAAGGAATCCAGTGACCTTTGTAAAGCGACCCCCTAGCTGACCTTTGTAAAGGTACCTCCTTAGCCAAGCAAACAATGCCCCCAGTGGATTTTTCCTGAGGGTCCCTCTCGACTGCCTCTCCCACAGCTGCTGTGATGGAGTACCTGCACCTGGCCTTGAGGCCCATCTGTACCATCTCCCCACTACTCACCCGAAGTGAGGTAAGTGTGCTGTGTGCGGTTGGGGAGTCCTAGTCCTGAACCTTTCCCCTCCACATCTCCACTGCTGGACACCTCTGGCACAAGACATGTCTCCGAGATCTTAGAACATTCCACGTAGGTCCAAAGCTACAGCTGGTTCCTTTACAATGCTCCCTACTCACTAAAGTTTTGCTGTTGTAGATTGAAAATTGAACCACTCCAAGCAAGCTTCTTAGCTGTTAGTCCAGCCATAGGTGGCTTATTTTCTAGCCAGATCTGGGGCTCTCAAAGGCAGGCACTGTGAACCTGAACTCTGAGTATACACATGTGCACTCTCACACAATTCCCCAGTAGCTCTAGGCTCATCACTCATACATTCTTCACAGTAAGTATGTATTAACCTTCTTCTATGTACAGAGTATCAACACCATTCTCAAAGTTATGATGCACAACTGATTGGGGAGGGGGGTTTTGAGACAAGGTCTCATTATGTAGCTCTGAATATCCTGAAACTCACTGTGTAGAGCAAGCTAGCCTCAAACTCACAGAGATCCATCTGACCCTGTCTCCTGAGTGCTGAGATGAAAAGTATGCACCATCAGACCCAGCTGACGTGTAGTTTTATATGTCCTTAGCATGTACCACTCAACAAGGGGACAACTTGGGGCTGGAGAGATGGCTCATCAGTTTAGAGCACTTACTGCTCTTCAGAGGACCCAAGTTTTATTCTTACCACCCACATGCTGGCTCACAACCACCCATAGCTCCAGCCCAAGGGATCTGGCACCCTTTTCTGGCATATACATGGTGCACATACATGCATGTAAACAAGGCATTAATACATACAAAATAAATATACAAACTTTTTCAAAAAGGCTATTTTAGGTAGGCTGTAAACAGGCAACAGGTGGTATTTAGGGTCTCTCTCATTTGATTCCTCCTAGTGCTTAAATTAGGAAGGGCATAAAGATGATGTTCTCTACTGTATGATGAAGAAATGAGCCCTAGGGAAATCAATGGCTTATCCAAGATCACACATTGAAATTGGCTTCAGGATGCCAAGTTCAGTGCTCTTTAAGTTGGAAGGAAGTGGGAGGGTGGAGAATGTTCCAAAGAAGCCACTGCCAACCATTGGTCCTTTGAGCATCCAGACTGATGGAGGATAATGACAGTTCTTTAGTGTCATTTGAGATTTCCTGCCACTGGAAACTATTGCCCTGCCCATAAACAGAGGAGGAAGTTAGTCAAGTTGCCTACCCAGGATTACTTGCTTACAAGATACTGATGGGATCTGAACTCAGGCCTAAAGCTATATTACTAGGCTGGAAAACACAACAGGAATAAAAGGGCAAAACTGCTACCAGGAATGCTGCAGAGCTGTAGTCAGGCAAGAACTCTTGTCTAAAGTGTGGGTTAACATGTAGGCTCCAGGGCTTAGGATCTGAGGCAGTTTGGGGCCCTGTGCTGGTCAGCCTGTGAGATAGCAATCAGCTCGATAGCTTTGAAGACTCTTTTCATTCCTTAGGCACCTGCTATGTGCCAGGCACTGCACTGAGCACTGGAGGTAAGAAGACTTGGTCCTTACCCCAGGAAGCTCACAGTCTAAAGAGGAAGATGTTCTAGAAACCAGACAACTCAACATGGTGATGAAAGCTACCCTAAGACGAGGAATTTCCCAGCATGCAGGAGAGGCACCTTCATCCTGAGGTCACTCTTAAGCTTGACCTCTGAGAACAGTGCCAGGACCTGCCTGTGTAGCTCACAGCTGTGTCTCCATACAAGAGGTGTTGGTCTGGTTTTAGGATATTTACTAACCTGCATTCTTCCAAACCCTGAACGTTCTATCTGGAGCAAGAAGGACAACTAGTCTCTCTGCTTCCATCACTGGGGTTCCTGAACCAGTGCTTGACCCCATGGGCTTGTCTGTGCCATGTAAGAACCACGTGGCCAATGTCCAGCTAGAGAAGAATAAGAGGCCGGGTGGGAGGGCATCTCCGGGCCCCAGAACGACAAAGAATACGTCTAGGAAGTGGCTCTTCTACGTGACCCTAGGCGAGTCACTTAACCTCTGATCTTCAATCATGCAAAGAGGAAATAGTGTCATCTCAGAGGATGAATGTATATAACGAGCCACACCAAGCACAGTGGGAGTTCTGCAATCGATAGCTGCCATTTATTACCCTAGAAGCAGGTGGGCCCCTGGCCAATTGAAAACAGGGCAAATGCAGCTCCGACTTAGAGAGGAATCACTGTGCCTAACTGAATTCCTCTCTTAGGGACACTTAATTAAGCAGCTGGGAGTGCTGGAAGGCTGCTTTTGAGGCCCTGCCAGCTGCAATTGGTATTGGGCTGGCAACAGGAAGCCAACATCCTTCCTTGGAGATATTTTTCTGGATAGCCGCTCCCCACTACAGGCAGGAAGCCTTCGTACTCTCCGGGTGTTCAAGAATGCATCCAAGGCCTCCAGAGGTCCAGAACCGCGCTAGGCTGGGGAGAGAAACAGAGACAAGTATTAAACAAGATAAGAATTTAGCGGGGCTGGAGGGTGAGATGCAGAAAGGGTATCCAGGAGGCGGCGCTCTCCAGGAGAAAGAAAGGACGGTCCTCCCACCCCGCCTCAGGAAGGTATCGCAGGAACAAGACGCAGTGGCCAGTCTTTTTAAATCCCAGTGTGACGAGAAACTGGCGGCTCTCCCTTATCCTTTAGGATGCTCTCCCCTCCCACTAGCCCCGCCCTCCGAGGCTCCGCCTCTCCCACAGGTGCTCAGCGTGGCCGTGACGCACACCTTCCAGATTGCCAAGGCCCGCGCTCAGCTTGGCTACGCGCCGGACAAGTTCAGCTTCGCCGACGCAGTGGAGCGATATGTGCAGGCCACGACCCCGCAGCCCCGTGGCTTCACCACGCTGACGCTCCTGCGGCTGTTGCTCCTGCTGCTGCTCTTGCTCGGCCTACTGGGCCTGACCCTGCACTTCCTAGGGCTTCAGTCTTTGCAGGCGGTAGTGCAACACCTCTGATCCCGCCCCCCTGATCAGCAGTCACGTACGGCTTTCAGAGCTTGTACCTAGCTTTGACCTACTAATTTAGGCACACCCCTCGTCATGACCCCGCCCCGATCCCTGGCCATGCCCCTGCTCCACCCTCTAGACTTGTATTCTTCCTCGTGTTTGGGCTCAGTTTCTCTAGAGTCTCAACCCCATTTCCCCGCCCTTGGCTTCCTGATTACTGCGAGGTTGGTAAGGTCTCAGCCTCCCAGCCTGCTTTCTTCCCAGCTATTTTCAGGCTCCTACCCAGTCCAGCCCTCTCCTCCCTATTCCTCCACATTCTTCTTCCTCTGGTTTCGCCCTTTCTGCCTCCACCCTTACGCTGAAGCTCCAACAACGTGGTGGTTGCCTTTGGGGTTTGTCTAAGTGGGTGATTTCTGGTTGGTGTTGTCTTGGACCTGTCTTCCATTGCTTCTGGGGACAGTGGGGCCTCTCGCCATGGCTTCTTTTGAGTTTATCCTGATCCTGACACAGATCTGTGTGTTGGTTAGCTGGGGAGGGATGCCCAGCCCAACTTGGTATCTTTGGGTCCTTAGTTTATGACCCAGCACAGTAAAAGTTTTCAGTACCAAAAGAGGCAAGAAAAAAAAAAAAAAAAACTTTGCAAAAGAAAATTGAATGTCTCATAAAAGTACCAATATAATAGACAAAATAAGAGTTTGGCTGGTCATATTTTATGATTAAGTGTGTGTTTACCTGTGTATGGAATCAGAGTTTGTGGTTTCTGAGGCTGTCTACTTAATTTTTGCAGACAGCGTCTCTTTCCCTGGTTTGGAGCTTGGAGTGGCTAGGCTGGCCAAGAAACCCTAGGGATCCTCCCTGTCTCTTGCTTCCCAGTGCTGGGATTGCAGGCATATGCCACCCCACCCAGCATTTTGTGTGGGTGCTGCAAGTAAGTTCAAGTCTTCATCCTTGTGTAGCAAGCACCTTACCTACTGAGCCACCTCCCCAGCCTCCATATATTATGATTTTGTATTTTTTCTTTAATTTATTAATTAAAAATTTCATTTATTTTACATTCCAACCTGTTTCCCCTCCCTCCTCTCCTCCTGTTCCCTCCCCCCTCCCCTCTGCCCCTCCCTCCATCCTCTCCTCCTCAGGCTGTATTCAGAAAGGGGCAGGCCTCCCATGGGTGCCAACAAAACTTGGCACATCAAGTTGAGGCAGGACCAAGCTCCTCCCCTACCAACCCAGCATGGGGAATAGGTTTCCAATCATTTGTATTTCTTGGTGGGTAGTGGTATCCCCTATCAGCTTTAAGAGTTTAAGAGTTTAAGGCCCAATAGAGAGCAAAGTAACTGCCAGCCTGTAGTGGAAGGAAGAGAAGATACTAGACAACCTTTATAGGTGGTATCCCTCACAGTGTGTCCCTGTCTGGTACATTTTTTAAAAAGTCAATAGTAATCATTTCTGTTTAGTGGCCACACCTGCAGGAACTTGCATTTGTATGGCCTTATTTCACTATTAGAGTCACTCCTACAGTAAGAATTTGTCACAGTCTATTTAAAGATGAGGCCATGACTAATTTGAAGCATCAGAAGGTAAGGGTTACTGTGTTGTATCTGAATTTCCCAAGGCCCAATGGGAAACATGACACATGGTTATGTCAATTGCAGCCTGACTGTTCCAGATTTGGGGTTGAACTCTGGGTTCTACCTCCCTACAAATCTCAGGCCATCTGAGGTGGCCTTCATACTTGTTCTTCCTGTTGCTATGGTGAAATACCCTGACAGCAACTTAAGGAAGGATTTATTCTGGCTCACAGGTCAAGGGTTGGGAAAGTCAGTGTCAGGAACTTGAAGCAGCTGGCCATACTGTATCTGCAGTGAGGAACGAGAAAGATGATTTGCCTCCCTAAGCCCAGGAGTGGTGCTGCCCACTGTTGGAGTGGGGATTCCCACCTCAACCCCACTGAGATACTCCATCAGGTAATCCATCTTGGCATGTTCAGAGGCTAACCTAACCTAACTTAATCTAATTAATCCCCACAGCTGTGCCTGCCAGTTGGTTTCTGAGTGATTCTAAGTCCCCTCACATTGATAGTCAATACTAATACTAACCATCTCAACTAGCAACTGGACCTCCTTCCTTCTCTGTATTTATTTGCATTGTCTAAGTACACGTCTTTTTCTCTAAACTCTTTCTACCTTCCCTTCCTGCAGATATGTTCTTAGAGCAGGAGAAGCAGACTTCCATGTATACATTATTGCCTAGAAAAGAATCAGTTACTTGTATTCTGGGTTTCTCCATATCCTCCCCTTCCCAAGGCTCTGAAGACCAAAACCTGAGCATGGGGCGACATGGATCTCTATCCCAAGAATTCTTCCTTCTTCTCTTTACCTGGTGAAAGGGATGTGGCACCCACCCAACACACAAATTAAACTCTCAGAGGATCTAGATGCTGCCCCAAATAACCAGCCCCTATGAGACTCTCCTAGGAAGGGCTGGCTTCTTTAACGGCATTAGAGGAGTCATATGCCCAATGGGTTTTCTATTATTCTGTGTGTGCCTGTGTGTATGCATAAATGCAGGTCAGAAGAGAACTCAGGAATTCTCACCTGCTGCTTTGTGGGATCCTAAACTCAAAGTCAAATTATCAGCCCTAGACACAAGCTGAGCTGCCTATTGGGCATATGATCTTGCCAAGCCTCTTAGCAGGATTCATGGCTCCCTGCCCCCTTTTCAAATCCCCTTTGGTCTCCAACACCACACTGTGTTTTTTGTCTGGCTCCCTCACAGGTGCTTTTCTCTGGCCCCTCCCCCACCCCCATTTTAAGATTGTGTCCCCAGAACTTTGTCCCAGCCCCTCTTCTTCCTCTGTGCTCTTCCTGGGCAACTCCATCCCTTCCCATCACCTCAGTCCCCATCTGCTCTGAGTGTGCCCTTGACTGCAGACTCTGTGTCCACCTGCACACCTGACCTCTTGTTCAGCAGCATTTTAGACTCTGAATGAACTGTACTGACCTTGCCATCTTTCCCCAACACCTGCTCTTTGTCCATCCTGCCAGAGGCCAGGCACTGCCAGCCCATTCTCCTATTCTTCTTCCTCTTCCTCTTGTTGGCTCAAACCCAAGCCTGGCCATCACCTTTGACACGTTTCTCTTCTTCAAAGCATTTTCATCAGTGAGTGTTGTGATATCGACTTCCAAAATGTCTCTTTCCCACCCCTTCAATTCTAACTGCCACCACCACTGTGCTACAAACCACTGTCCTTTTTGTGACAGGACTGAATGAATCCCAAACTGAAAACTGTTCATGGTTTCCCATTGCCCTCTGAGTTCAAAGCCTGTATAGCGTTCATTCATGTGCCCACCTCTCCAGCGGCATCCATCTCCTGCCCTCCAACCACTCTTTCACACAGTGACCCCTGACTGTCTTCACAGTACAGGCAGCTCTCCAGGCTCTTTCTGGCCTCTGGGGTTTCCCTTTTTTCTAGAAATCTTTCTCCCACCTTCCGTGTCCAATTTCAGGTTCAGATAAATGTCACCTCTTTGTCCCCAGGGCCAGGTAAGGACACTGCAGCGCAGGGCACGACTCCTGTGTAACTAAATGATGGTGTCTCTGATACCTGTCATGTTTACCCTGAAACCTCACCGTGAGCTGGGTTTCTGGCCCAAAGAAGGACTTTCATAAATAGTTATTGGACAAATAAAGCAGTGAGGGGCCACTAAACCACATCTACATACATGGAGAATGAATAAAGCTGAGACCTCAAGATTGGCATTCCTACGTGGGACTCCACCCCAGCAACCCAGCCCTCCGTAGTCACCTGACATCCTTCCACCAACAGAGGTTGATGGGTGTCAGCCAGCCCCGGAAAGGGACCCTTTCTAACTCAAGTCATCCTCCCATCTTTGTTCTTAGCAGAGACCCTTGAGGTGTGAATTAAGACCCAGACACCTTGTTGGGGATATGCAAGGTGTTCTAGACTCACTGCCTTGAAAGGGGGTGGGGGGAGGGTTTTGTTTTGTGTTTTGGTTTTTAGAGAAGAAAATTGGTCAAGAAAGGTTTGCGTATGTGGCTAGAGAGACTGCTTCCGTCGTACTGTGTATTTTCTTATGTTTTTAAAAACGAACTTTAGAAGGAAAGAAGCAGGGAGTACAGAACCAAGAGCCTACAAGTGGAAAAATTAAAAGCATTAGGGTGTGGCAGCGGTGGGATTCGAACCCACGCCATCGAAATGACTGGAGCCTAAATCCAGCGCCTTAGACCACTCGGCCACGCTACCTCCCACTTCTTGTCTCGGCCATTCAGAGTATATCAGTACGATGACGCGGTGCATTGCATTTTGCAAGCCCCGCCCCTGACTGTTTCTGAGCCTAATGCGAGCTCAACCTCTCTGCACACAGTAACATCCGCCATTGGTTTCCCTATGTTCTGGTTTCTGGCACCTGCACCAAGCAGGAACGCGCCACTAAAAATGAAAGGACAGTCCCTGCGTGTCAACCATGAACACTTGATAGTAGCGTGGGATAATTTGAGTTTTGCATTTTTCCATGGACGTGTTGTTGTCTGTGGCCACCTGGGGGCAGTGCTGCGCTGCCGAGTCGCCGGCTCGACTGGGCAGGGCGGTCGCGGGGGAACCTGGTTTGCGCCTAACTCATCCTGCGGCCTCAGACACTCCTTTTTGGCCTCTCGGTGTCCAGCACCGCGTTGTCAGGCTGTGTTTATGTGGAGTCCTTCGTTCTTATCACAGAGTTGGGAAGAGACCTGATCATTTGAGCCAAGCTAGCGTTCTCCGTCTCTCAAGCCCCACTTGGATGCAGAATATTTCTGTTGTTTTTAGGAAAACAAAGTAACTAAAGAGGACCTTCTAGCAAACCTTCGTTTACTACCATTTAGAATTTTGAAGATCGATTTGAAATCTTTAAAACAAAACGTAGTTTAAATTTTTCATCTCTTCTGATATCCCTAAATTTGCTATTTATTTTTCAGCAGTTTAAATTCTCCAAGTTTACTTTTTGCTAATTTTA